TGTTCCTTATATTTTACTGCGCTTAAAGGTAAATTAGTATCTTTCAATCGATTAACTTTAATTATAATTTTGTTAGTGGCTTCATTTGTATAAATTATATTTACACATTTTACACATCGTTCATAAGATGGCAACCACTTAAAACCATATCATTTCTTGATCTTTGATCCACCAGAACTTTATTAAATAAACGTTCACTGAAAATCAAACTACCACAAGTCAAAAAAAAATTAGATAGTATTATAAAAATCAGCTATGACCAATAGGTTATATTAAGATTTTTTATTCTTCACCATACAAAAAACAAAAAAAGTTGATGAAGAGCTCATGTAATGTGACTCCAATCAACTATCTGTCGGCGTACATTAGTTGGGTGAAACTAGCTAACAGTACGTTTTAGCACCTTCTAACATCGGGTGCTATTCTGTCCGCTTTCTCTATGCTATCTTTCTAACTCGACTACTTCTGTCTTTCACTCTAACAGATCTTCGTTCTTCCCAAATTCACTTTACTCTTGGTCTGTAGAGCGGGTAATGACGCTCCTTGGGGAGCCAAACTTGTCTTTGCGGGCCTTGGTAATGTGGCCTCTATATGGCAATTAGCCAATAGCCAATAGAGGATAAACCACCATACCACCATACGAAAAACAAAGAAAAGTCAAATCCAAAGAGAAACTAAATTATTCACAAACATAATTATTTACATGCTTCAACCAATCCAATACACAAAACTTAAAAGCGTGTAATTTTTTGAAAAATCCTGCGTGTAATTTTTTGAAAAAACTTCCTAAATTCTATAATTAAAAAATTCACACTCGCAAAAGTAATTCATGCTATTTTTCGTCTTATATCTGTCTTCGAAGGTAGAAAATTTATCAGCCCACCATCAGAAGCTGCTAATAAGTTTTAAGTCACGCAGAAAATCTGTTGATAAAAGCACATCTTAACCCAATCAGTGCAATGCTTTGAACGATATTCATAGCCAACATATAATTAAAGTGAAATACAAGTTTTTCAAGATTTTTCGGAACCTCTGCTAAACAAACCATTTCTGCTTGATGATTTATCTTTAACAAAACATGAGTTTCGTAACTTAAAGAACACGTTCTTGACATTTTAATGGTCAAAAACATGCACCTGTTTCTTAAGATCATTTTTTCCAAAGATTAGAACGATTTATTTAAACATTATTCTTTATTAATCATTATACCTTTGAGCAATCCAGAACGCGAAAAAGACTTTTAAATCATCAATATCATTTGTACAGATGTACCAAGCCTATTGTCAGTAAAAGTACATCATCATTGATATTGATCAGCATTATAGGTCTTACACTAAAAGAACTTCCACTTAGGTAGACAAAAAGCTGATTGCAATGAAGGACCATGTAGAAAGAAAAATAAATTGACTGTATTAAAATCATTTTGGAAAATGCTACAGTGTTTCCAAATACTCATAACTCTTTTATTTACTATTTATTTAATATTAAACATAATTGTTTACTGTTTATGTTATTACGTTTTTTGTTTGTAAACCAAATCAGCTTATTTCAAAATATTTTTCTCTAATAAGTGTGAACATAAATAGTAGTTTAGTCATTGCCCCACACCTCGAATTAATTTTTAAATACAGCAAAAATGCAGCTATAGTAAAATTTGAATTACCTAATTTAAAAGGCGGAGGGACTATTTCGCAAATCTTTTAACAAACACTTTGAACATATTAACATCGTTCCACTTGATTTCCTATTCTTCTTTAACCTCTGTTATTTAGTAGAATAAATATTAACAAAAGTGTAAAAACTAAAATGTAGAATAAGTGTAAACAGATATTACGATATATATCTAGGCAATAATAATACAATAAACAGATTCAAAATATTACTTATCCTAAAATAAAAATAAAATAATTTGTTTAATATAGTACTTCACCGTTAATATAAAACTATAATAGTTTTTTTGTTCATATAAAACAATTAAAACATGAATGAGTAAATTAAATAGCAATTAAAAGAATTAAAAAAACCTTACTTTAATTCTTTTTATTACTTATATGTTACTTAAATTCTTTTAATTCTTTTAATTCTAAGCTTGTCACAGGAATCATCAATTAGAAAATTATTATAGGCAACTTTCAATGCATGAACACCAGTCAGCAAAAATAACCAACTATCTTTTACCCAACTAGACGAAACAACTGCCTCTGCTTCAATCCCGTTTTTAAAATGAACAACTAAAGCCCAAGATTGTGAAGCCATTATAATAGATTATCTAAATAGGCATCATTTGTTTTAATTACATATATATAAGTAAAGCTGTTTTAAAGTGCATATACTCTCAAGAAAGTGTATGCACTTTAAAACAGCATTACATCCTTTAAAATAAATATATATAAATGGAACTTGTAACGTAAAACTTTACAAAAACTATTGTTATGAGCACGTGTATCTAATCTTTGGGTTTGTGGTTACTAAATAAAAATTTATATATATATATATATATATATATATATATATATATATATATATATATATATATATATATATATATATATATATATATATATATATATATTTCATCAATAAAATTTAAATAAAATTTAATAACGACAGGAGCAAGTAGAAGACAGAAGTCTTGTCATCAAGCCCCTATAGTAAGCGTAAAGTATTTTTAACAAATTTCTCATTATATAATTTTTGCATTTTTTCCTCATTATATGTTTTTGCATTTACAAATACTCGTTATATAAAACAAGTTAAAACATTATTACAACAAGAATACCATAAATTGCAAAAGATAAATAATCAGATATATTAAGAAATATTAGAAAATTTTTTTTTTTTTACTTAAAAATGTAAATACTGTTTAACTATATTTGTATTTGTAAAACAATTTATTGAAGTTATACTTTTCATATATATATATATATATATATATATATATATATATATATATATATATATATATATATATATATATATATATATATATATATATATATATATATATATATATATATATATATATATATATATATATATATATATATATATATATATATACTTATATGTTTATTTATATTTATATATATATATTACATTTACATACATATTATAGATATATTATTTATTTTATATGGTTTAGGCGACAAAGTTTTTTTGTGATCTTTTTTTAGATACCGAGTTTCTACATGAAGTTATTATCAAATTTTGCACAACTAGAATCTTTTCAGCTTACTACTAGATTAGTACAGTTTGTTCACGAACGGAAAGGTCGGATGTTTTATCGACAATTATAAAGTAAAGTTTCATTTGGTGAACTTGGTCTTTTTATAATTTCTTTGCGTATAAATTCACCTGCATATTTGATTATATCATTCTTGATTGTCTAACTTGTGTATAGAATATTATTTTTAGATGAATAAACATGTTCTAAAAAAGATTTATTACCGCTACACAATCGCATTCGATGTATTCCTCTGAAATATACTTCACTTTCAATTGGATCAACAACATTTACGCGGCCGTGATGTCTACACAAAGAGAATTCTCTTGCGCCATTGTACCCAAAAAGGTGTAATTAATTCTTTTCTATCCCTTTATGACGTTGACAGGAAATTCATTTATAATGGTTTGACTTGTCCTTATGACATGAATCTTTTGAAATTTAGTCAATGGTTTTAAAACTAAACGTTCAATTTTCTTTGTATTCGCCACCATAGGCATGTTCACCATCGTAAAAATTTATTAAATGGCATTGTAATATTTGACAATTTTGTCAAGACATTTTAAAATTCTAATAATGTATAAAATCTTCTACATTAGTATAAACACACTGTACAATTCTAGTTTGACGGTTAAGCGCCGTTTTTCTTAATCGTCTATTTCTAATAAAAGCCCTCTATAACTAGAACTTTCTATAAATAAAAGAAGCTCCTATAAAAAAAAAGTGGGGATAGGGGGACGTGTTCCCTGGCCCCCTTCCCCCTCGGCGTCGTCGGCCCTTTAAGTAACTTGCTCAAACCTTTACTTCAGAAAATAATTTTTACTTAAAATTATACTTAAAACTTGTTAAAAGCTCTGATTTTAGATAAATTATTTTAAAAATACAAAAAAAACTCTTTATAAAAAAGAAAATTTAAAATTGTGCAACAAATCTCATTAATGCATTTTTATCGAAATCGATTACGTAAAATTTAATGAATTAACTTGGGAGAATTAACTTCTATAAGTTCATACACCTATATTTAAAAAAGTAATACAAATATTCCACTTTGTTTAGGAAATCGGATAATTTTACTCAATTAATAATATGTATTCAAACATACAACTTTGAATTATTTAATCAATATTAATCAGGTTTATTTAACATTACAAAAAGAAAATCAACTGATGTATGTTTCCATATATTTTTTCGGCTTTTATAATATAAAACAATAACAGGCTATTTAAAAGAATTACTCGTTTAACAAAATAGATTTTTTATCTAAAAGAAATTTTTTATCGGTGGAACCTTAATCACACGAATTAAAATATAGTGCTTTATGTAGTCTCTTTTCATTGTTAAAAAATAACTTAAAAAAAATTTAACCAAAAGAGAGCATATAATGTAATAAAAATGTTTCCCAACTTCTTTCAGTTTCATAATTTTTGGTATGTGTTTTTTTACATTATTTTACTTGATACGACCTTTGTTATCGCTAACAGTAATATTTTTCATTCGATTTTAGCGCTGCTCTAAAAGTTGTTTAAAACGTTATTTCACAATACTTTAAAGTATTTTACTTTTAAACAGTATATTTGTTATTATTACTTTTTCTTGACAATAACGCAATAATTATGTCACTTATTATTTAATTTTCAAATATAATTTTACCTTTTAAAGTTATTAAGAAGCTAATGGCTTTAAAAAAAAACGATTAAAACTTATGAGATAAAAAAAGTATATTATCTGATTAAAAGAGATGGAATTTGTTTTTTAATTTTATGTTTTCTTATTTCAGAGAAAGCATGACGTACGTCGCTGTTTGTTTTGTTTTTGTAAGAATTATTTCATTCAAATCTTTTAACATTTTTTTTTTGATACTGTATTCTCTATTTTTTTTGTGTGCTTGAATAATTGAACCTCTCGTTTTGAAAAGTATAAGCCTTTAATAATAAAAAGTATTATATATTGATTAACGTTAAATAGCAAATAGATTTTTCTTGTTACATTTTAAAAAAGTTGTTTATTTATCCTGTATGTTTGCATGATATTAGAAAATCCCAATAACTGTTCACTACCTGGTCAGTAGTAAGCAATCCTCCATCAATTCATCGGAAAGAGAATATTCTCCATGGTTTAGAATCCTAGATCAAGTGACGCAATCAAAATTACTAGTCGCTTCCTATTTTATTTCGACAACACAAGCAATTTTTTTTTTATCTGTTTGATATTTGGAAAGTTTAACACTTTTTTTAAAAAAAAAACTTTTTTTTAAGTTTTAAAACGAATTTTTTTAAATTTTATAACTGTTTTATTTTCAGCTTCATTCATTCCATTTTTCGAGAAGTGACAATATTTTTACACTGTCTAATGTTTCAAGAAGTTTTCTAAAATATACAGAACAAATGTTTTTGAAATACTCGGCAGTTAAAGAAGTGGGATTGCCTAGTTTGAAAGATAACAATTTGAATGACAATGTTTCAGCAAAAAACTTTAACTACAGCAAATCAAATGCTTTATTTTCAAACGTAATTGAACAAGTAAGTGAAATCACTTCTAATAAAAGTCACACGACATCTAATAATGATTTAAAAACTAGCTTTGAATATACTGTCATAGAAAACTACGTTGATTATGTTATATTAACAACACTTGCAACTTCAGCTGTTAAACCTTCGTTGTTGTATTACTCCAGTATTTCTAGTACAAGAACAGTAAAAGAAAACATAGACTTTGCTTTTCAAAGTTTTTCCATTTATGAAACCCCAATTCTCAGCCATTCACCAGTTCTCAGCTGTTCACCTAAATACTCTTCAATGTCGACCTATAAAATCTTAGACCTTTCTTTTGGATCCAACAATGCTGAAATAATTGTTAATACAACCGTAATTAACGCCAGCGATAGCTATGTAACAAAAACATCAGTGCATAACACATCGCCAAACATATCAAAGGGCTCAAGTGGCACTCTAAATATATCAAATGACTCTGTGATTATCTCAAGTGGCATACATTTTGTTTACCAACATAAAACTGTTAACCTAAATAACTCTGCCTCTGTTGCAAATAATTCATCTCACCATTCTTTGAAATATTCGAAATTTATTTATTTTATTTCCTCGAATTCGCCGCTAAATGTTTCTTTTTTACATACGTCGAACCCATTTGTTTCAGCATCTCTGGATTTAAACAAAACTCAGTTAATGATAATGATTTTCTCAGAACTAAACACTATTATGTCTTCAGACTTTCAAATGAATTCAGCATTGTCTGTTACTTTAAAAAAGTTTCAAACATCGAAAACAGTTTCACACCTGAAAAACACGCTATATTCTAAAGTAGATTATTCTAAATTACATTTTTCCGAAAATCTAATAATTTCAAGATTATCAGATTTGAAAATAACCAGTGGAAGATATATAAATCCAACAGCGATTGTTTTTACATCCGTTTTAAATGTGCTGCCAAATGTGACGGATAATTTACCGACAGACGTTGCTCTGTTAGCAAGTAAACATGCACTTTTTTTTTCAAGTTCAATTTTACAATCAAGAATTGTCAGCATTTCTCATGAAGCAATCTATTTATACATTCAAGCTCCATTTAATGCAAAAAAGTTGACAAAAATTGTTATTTTTGTGCAAGAGCTTCATCATCTTTATTTAGGTTAGAAATTTAATTTTCCTTACTATTATCATTATTAATATATTTTTATTATTATCATTATTATTGTCATTGTTGTTGCTGTTATTGTAATTGTTATTGCTATTATTATTATTATTGTTATTATTGTCATTGTTGTACATATAACAACAACAACAACAACAACAACAGCAACAACATTAGGGCCAATGACGCGGGATTTCTAAGAAGAGGGATATTTATATATATATATATATATATATATATATATATATATATATATATATATATATATATATATATATATATATATATATATATATATCCGCAGTGCTCTGTGATAAAACTGTAGGGACTTATTGGGGCACCTTAAAAAAAAAAAGAAAAATGTATATAATTCTGCCAAAACTTATATTTTCTAAAGAATAAAGTTATTTTTTAGTAACTAAAGTTTGCATTTTTCTGTTCCGTGCGTTTTTTCATTTCAAACTTAATTTATGATATAATATTACTAAAGTAAAGTACTTTGCTTACTCAGCGTAGTTAACGAGAGATCCGAAGAAAAATATAGCGTTTAGGCACTTTCGTTTTCAAAAAATGCCGTTTATTTTGTGTTTTTAATTTTTTTTTAAAAATTACGAAGCTCGTTTTATTTTGTTTACAAATATTCGGTGATTTTATTATCTATGAGTTTCAAGTTTTAACTGAACAATTTGGGGCAGAAGTTATATGAAAGCTGAAACGTTTTTATTTAGTAATTTATTCAAACGACTATAAAGAGATTATGGAAGTAAATTGCTATGAGTAAAAACTAATGTGAAAACTTCAGTTTTAACGTTTTCACTGTTTACGGAAAGATAAAATAAGAAGTTATTAGTCATTTATTAAATATTTTAATGCTGTAAACAAGCAGTCTTTTTACTGTAGAATAAAAGAAATATTTTTGAAACATAATACTTAACACATTTGTTTCAGCTGTTTTTATGACGCTGCCCCGTTGCGTTTTATGTATTTTAGTGGTAGTTTTGTTTTGCTTAATGCTTTGGTTAAAAAAAGATTTACAAAAAAATAATAAATTATATAAGAAAAGTATAAATCCTACTTTTTAAAAATACATAACAGTAATAGTTAAAAATAAGTGGAAAACACAAAAAATTGAAACTTAAAAATGCAAATTTTTGTTTTTAAGAAATGCAAATCGTTCGGATTTCTCCTTAACTACGCTGAGTACAAAATACAAAGATAAGAATTAAATAAGAATAAATCGGAGATTGCCAGTTTAATTTTTATGAAAATAATAGATAAAACATATACGATTTTCCATGCGCAATATTATAGAAATACCCATTTATAAAACTTGTATTTTTCTTTTAAGTATTGAAGCAAGCATTCTGGAGTTTTAGGTTTACTATTCCAATATATTGGATTTTCTTGTTTATTTTGAATTTTAAGAATTATATAACTTTTATAATATTATTTATATATGTATATATATTATAAAAATATAAGTGCTCGATGACTAACGTCATAGCTATAATACAGTTGAAAATAAAACCACGGGATTTTCACAACTTTAAGTTTCATGCTGTTGCAATCATCAGGTGAAATACCCAGGGTATTTCAACGGTAAATACAGGGTATTTCACCTGATGATTGCAACTGCATGAAACTTAAAATTGTGAAAATCCCGTGGTTTTATTTTCTACTATATATATATATATATATATATATATATATATATATATATATATATATATATATATATATATATATATATATATATATATATATATATATAACTTTTATAATTTTTTTTATATATAATACATAAAAAAAAATATAAAAAACTTTATAAATCATGTAATTTTAGTTAATAAAAAATAAAATCATTTTAATTTTAAAGCAATTATATTGTTTGTATGTATATACAAACCAATCTATGGTTTAAAAAAAATAATTATCAAGTTATTATTATCTTTTATACATATTTTCTTAAAAAAACAAACTACTGTTTTTATCATAGCCATAATAACAGATATATATATAAATATATTTTATGACTATGTTTGTATATACTGATAAACTCTACCAAATATTTCCGCTGCACTTTTTTTATTACCAGGGAGGTTTATTAAACCTCCTTGGTATTAACTATTTCGAACAGTTCGAATAATATTTTCGAACTATTTTGAATAATTGTGTGGAGACAATGCCTAATTTTTATTTTTTTATTTTTGAATGAAAAGGTTTCTGTAAATAAAAAAAACAACAAAAAACATGTTTTTTAATTTAACGTTTCATTTCTTTCAATAAACATATGTTTTTAGGAAAAACACGTGTTTTTTGCATTTCAGTTATTGAATCAACAACTCTTAGGCCAAGTGCAAAAACAAGTCATATATGCAGTTTGCCTTAGTTTATAACTTTAAACCTACTTTTTACCCTTTTGGTGGAGCTTTGGCTCCATAGTTCCGGCTTGGTCCCAAAAGCCTGGTATATACATTAACTATCTAATAGCATGCTGCTACAAGGAAGTGCCGCTAAATTGACTGAGGATTTGGCAATGAAAATTTTTAATCCCGGGATTCCGGTATTTATACCGGTATTATTATTTTTCCTATAATAAAACGAATGAATAAATAACTTATTTGAAAAATGATTTGGCAAATAAAAAAAACTAAATTTATTTATTTAAAAAATAATAATTAAAAAAAAGCAAAATTCAGTAAAATTTTATTTATATTATTCATAAAAAAAAGAAAAAAAAAAAAATTATTTTAAATTAAGCCAGCTGCCAAAATAAGCTTTCTCCAATTCTACACTGCCAAAAAAGCTCTCTCGAATTCTACACTGGTTGGTTTAATACTTTTTAAACATGGATAGTCAGTTATTGATTTTATCATAAATTAAATAGCATCATCTGCAGATAACAAAGATGTATTCTGTTGGCAAGTTACTTCAGCTGTCCTAGGAAAAAAAATTCTATAGAATTTTATATAAATTTTTGAAACATATGGCCTATAAAAATTCTATAAAATTGTATATAATTTTTATAGAGTTTTTGTTAACTTCTATAAAAATTCCTATTGAAATTTTTTTTCTACTTTTTTTTATAGAAATAAATATAGAAAATATAGAAAAAAAAAAGTTTTATAGCAATTTCTATAGAAATTAATAGACATTTTATGGAAATTCTATGGAGTTTCTATAGGCCAATTATATCTATAGAGACAATTCTTTCCCGAACTCTTTTTTACATATTTTATAGGATTTCTATAGGATATTATAAATTCTATAGGGTATTATAGGATTTATATACTTCATATGATTTTCTCATTTTCATCATTCACGAACTTTTTCAATTAATGTTAACATTTGCTGATGTACCAGAAAAGAAAAATTATCATCATCATTATCAGTGGAGATTATGACTACTTTCATTTTCATAATTCGTCGTCATCTGCGAATTTCTGCTCTTTTCAAATCTGGGTGTAGGAACAGTGCATTGTATTGTTTTTTTGCAGCCGAAATATTATAATACTTATATTTATTTTTGCAGATTATCATAATTTAATCCTATCTCTTAAACTCTTAAAGAATATAAATGAATAATTCATGAAAAAAAAGTCCTTATACCAATAATTGCTTTATTTTCAAAAATCCCAATCATCTCATCTTAGGAAGCCAGTCTCCTAAGATTAGCTTTTTTTAATGGAACTCAAAAAAACTCAAAATAACGAAAAAATAAACACACAAAAAAAATAAAACAAAATTGTATCTTCAAGAACTACACTTAACTAAAAAGTAATTATTTCAACCATAAAAAAAAACACTAATATTAAATCTTTCCTATCTCTAAAAACGTTAACGATACTATTTTTTGAAAAAACTTTCGATCTTGAAATACCAAAATAAAGCTCCGCGGAGAATAACTTTAGAAAAACGCGCTTTTTTTTATAAAAAGCTGCATCTCATCTTGAGCGTCTAAAAACGTATCATCTTAAGCAACTTCACTAAGTACTATCATAATTTAAATAGCATGGCAACTGCTTATGTATTATTTCACATAACCCATGGAATTAGCAGTAGATAAGCATAAAATATTGAGGATGTAATAAATTCTTGATGATCTTGTTTCGTTCTGACTTAATTACAAAATATTGAATAATAAAAAATTATAGCGGGGATGGGAAATTTTTTTAACAGTAAAACAATCAAAGAATATTAACTATTCAACCAAGAAACTAAAATAAATAACACCATCGAACTTGTATGAATATTCTTAACCAAAAAATGTCGTGAAAAATCATTAGCCTCCCCCCAAAAAAGGTTATAGCATCTCAGGAACCTGCTCATTTTACACAACCTTCCCCAACATCAAATACTCATTTATTTGTAGTTATTAGTTAAACTTTATTTATTATTTGAGCCTAATATTAACAACCAAATATTAATGTGTTTAAAATATTTTAATACTTACTAAATTAAAATATTTTAAAATTTCTATTACGATCAGTAGCATATAAGTAATAAAAAACATAAACATTTTTGAAAACAAAAGTTGAATATTTTGAATACTGTTTAATGAGGATGACACCCAACCGGTACAACTCAGTAAAAGTTAAGCAGTTAAGCATGGTTTCTTTTGCGTTTTTAAAACCCTAAAAAACAAAAAGAATAATTCATGTCAAGATTAGAATTTTCCGAGAATTTAATCGTTACTATTTACCAAAATACTAACTAGGATATTAAAAGAGGATTTTCATCTGTATATTTAAATATGTATGTTTTTAAATTACTGCGTTAAAATTTTACTGCGCGGAAGTTTTTAACCGTTTAAACCTCCTTTGCGATAAAATAGTAACGTTAAAATATTACTGAGACTAATATTTTAACGTTATAATTTTACTGCGCTCGTTATAATTTTACTGTTATCAAGTAAAGCGATTTTCCTTTATTGTGCGGCAATATTTAATCTAAGAATAAATTAAATAGCCTAGCGATCCATAAAGTCAATTCTGTAGATTTTTATGACGAATAAGTTTATTTATGTTCTTTTAAGTTGTGAAGAATATGCAACCTTGAGCAAATTCTTTATTTTTTTATAACAAACAACATGTAAAACAACTGATATACGAACATCATTTTAGTTCAGTATAAACATCATTTCATTAACAAAGCTTTTAATAACAAAACAACATTATAATGATTGTTTTTATTTTCTAAAAGAATACTATGAGCTGTTAGTCGAATTTCATGGACGCTGGATATTTGAGCCCTGCTAGTTTTTGTCCAGTGAAGAACTATACAGTAATGTCAATTCCAATAAGATTTGCAGTACCAAGGATCATAATATCTGTAGCCCCTATACTATCTGTGGCCATACCACTTTTGGTAATGTAGTCTTCCACATCATCACCTAAATATCCTGACAAAAGACTGGAACAAGCTTTTGATACCATATGTTTAACAACAACATCGCGAACACGTATATGTTGACACAGAACCTGTCAGCAAAAACAAAATCGCTCAAAAAAAAACAATTGCCATCACCTTTGCAAACATGTATTTTCGAAGGTACATTATTTTTTTCTCCATCAAAATGATCTGGCATTATAAATGTTTTAGGTCCTTGTTCTTCAGCTATTTTTTGGAGAATTTCTTTGGAGGTATGTTTCATAAATTTGGAATTACGTAGACCTTTATCCTGAATGTTGCACTCAGAAGTTAAACTATGCAATTTTGAATTACTTTTCTCTTCAACAAATGGTTTAACATGATGTAGAGATTACTTTTTCTTTAATGTGATGTTCTCTTTAATATTTCATGTTGAGTTTGACAAAATATCAAGTATCTCATATAGACCATAGGGACCAAGCCACAAGAAAGTAATTTTTCCAACTTTTCTATTTTCTCTTTTTACATTTCTCAACCTTTTGATCCACAAAATATTTTGATAGTGTTGCATGCTTTCTATCATAGTCTATTTTTTTTTGTTTCAAACATATCATAGTCTATTTTTTTTTGTTTCTTTTGTGCACAGAAAATGTTGATGATGGTTTTTTCTTTAGTGTCCTCTTTTCATTTGTAAAGCTTTTTGTAAAACCTCTTTATTGTATACAGGATTGCAGTTATCCCCTTTGAGTACATCTGTGTACTTTACATCAATTGGAAGACAGGGTTGTCGGTTATACATAAAGTAAAATTGTGAATAACTCATTTAATTGTGCACTTTTAACACGTAAAGCAAAAAGGATTCCATATAACACTGAGACTCCACTTTTAACATTTTCATTAAGACCTTAATAATTGCTTTCTTAATTGTCTGGTTCTATCTCTCCACAAAGCCATTGGCTTGTGGATGGTAAGCAGAGGTTACACGTTGCTGAACGCCTGTCATATCATGTAGTGCATTAAATACTGAATTTGCAAATTCATGTCCTTGGTCATTAATTTGTATTTAAAAACAACTATGCCTGAAAGTAACTTTTTTAAGAAAGGCTAATACTGCTGTTTTGTTGACAAGAGGTTTAGCTTGAGTGGATTTGAAAAATAATCTATAAAAACAATTACATAAAATAAAATAGATTCAATTACATTGAATCTATTCGATTCAGGTAATTTAATTAGATTTAAACCAACTTGTTTCATAGCTTTTTATACTACTTTAACAGGTTTTAAAGCAGGAGACACTTTTAGGTTTCTGTTAGAGGTTTTTTGGCATCGTTCACATTGAGCTACATGTTTGGTGGAATACTCCACAATTGAATGCCAAAAAAATCTTGAAGAAACTTGCTTTCTCACAGCATTAATGCCTAAGTGACTAGCTAATGCAATAGCTTTTTCAGAAATACCATAATCAGTTACTGCAATCACCTACAATAAAGAAAAATTATTTCCATGAAATTTTTACATTATTTTGAGTTGTTTTAAAGCTATAAATTTTCGAATTTAAAAATGTTGTGTTAATTCACAACAATGCACAACACAGAACATTGTTTAATTACTTTATTTTAGTTGAGTAAAATCTTTTAAATTAAATAAAAACTTGTTTTAATAAAACAAGTTTTCCTTACCTCGCCAATGCTTTTTTTGCAATACATTAACTTATTGTCAATAATCATGGGCGTAGAGTACTCAAATTTCCAAGGGGGGCAAAAAGTTTAAAGTTTTTTTTTTATGATCAATGTATATCTACTGTCCAGTGTTTATTATTTTTGGTATAGAAATAAAAAAATAACTTTTGATTTTGGTTAATAAGCATCACGAAATCAAAGTAAATCAATTAGAGATGTAGCTTTACTTGGTTTCCAAATAAAACATTATACGACGCGTTTTGTTTTTTTCAATAAACATATCTAACAAAAAATCCATTTTAAGACTCGGGTAATTTCTTTATGGGTATTCATTATAGAAACAGCGTTCAGCCATTCCTTTCAGTTTTATTTGATCCAATCACAAACTCTTCAACTGTTGTTAAATGACGAGTGGTTTCAGTTGATTCAAATTTTTCGATGAGGCTGACTAAAACTGAATTTAAACTGAAAAAGAATAACTGGTTGTAGATCTCATTTTGACTGGTAATAAGTATTTCTGAAGCCAAGTTTAAATCTTGTAGGTACTTTCTTCTTCCTGCGCAGAGCTGGTTTGTCTAAATCATCGTTTTTAGCAGATTTAGTTGCCGCATCAAAAAGTGTTTTTAAATGTGATTCAATAGGCAAAGAGTCTTTAAAGAATTTAAATCCACAAAAATACTCATTAATTTAAATAATTTTTTAAAATTATTTTTAAATTTGTTTTAAAAAACTATAAAACTTCAAGGGGGAGGGGGGGGGTTATAAACGAATTTTCAAGGGGGGCTAGCCTGCCCCCGTTGCACCGAATACTCAAGGGGGGCAGCCTGCCCCCGTTGCACCCCATACTCTACGCCTATGTAAATAATAACAAAATTGTAACACTGGCGTTTAAAATTTGCTTTTTTTCCTTTTCTATTCACATCTTCAGGAAAAATAATGTCATTTAAATATTTACTGACATCATTAAAGTTAATGTTTTTGTACATCATGACAAAATAAACTATATATAATTGTAAAAATTAAAATTTTTATATACTAAAATGTTTATAATAAAACTTTATTTTCAGTATTGCAACATAAGAACATTTTAAGGTTTTATTTTTTAAAATAATGATAAAATACCAAATTTTTTTCGAAACGAAAATCTTTCGCACCACAACATGAGAAACAGTTCTTAACGGAAAAAAACACGAAACGCGGCATAATAAATATATTTAATTACGTTTTATGAATCAAATACATAATTAAAAATATAATTAACTAAGTAATTAAAATACTAATTTTTTATAAGATATTGATAAGTTTTAGTTTTACACTTTTATAAAAAAATTAGGACTTTCATAAAATATACTTTTTAGAATGTCATTTAATAAGTAAGAATTAAATAAAGAAGATAACTTGAACAACGTTAACATACGAATGTAATTGCGTAATTGCCTTTGTTGAAATTAAAAAAAAGTTTAAGTGATGAATGCTAAAACTTAGTTATATAATATAATGCCTAAAAATAACTCTCACTAATTTGAAAAACTTTAAAGACATCCTTTTTAGAGATTTTTCTAAAATGTTTTCCTTTATATATATAAAAAAATACTTGCATCGTTGTCACTGAAAAATGTTTTAATTTTTAAAATTCCAACGTTATTGGAACTAAACAAACGCTGAAAGAGTTAAAGCTCTAGCTATTTTGGAGAGCAGTAAAAAATTAGCTCACTAGGACTATACACGCGCTAAAAGTTTCAGAGCTGTAGCTAGTCTGAAAGGTAGCGATAAATTAATTGCAAGGTTTAGTAAGAATTGACAGCGGCCAAACAACACATAAAGTTCAATTAAACTTTGTAATGGAACCAAATATTTTACTAAGTTTTTATTTATGAGAATATAAATAGCAAACCTCCATTTCTGCTAAGCCAAAGGAAATAAACAAACGAAAGTCGGAAAGAAACCAAAGTCCGTACTTGGTAAATATAAGTATATATAAACATAGAGACATGTTGCGGAGGGAGCGTTGCTCTTTCCCTCAAAACTAACTCAAAGTTTCAGTTTTTTCTATAAAAACTTTAGATGCGTTAGACCCCCTTAATTTCTGCTACAGCCCTACCCCCCCCATTCATATTTTCCTAACCTTTCTAGATCACTATATATATATATATATATATATATATATATATATATATATATATATATATATATATATATATATATATATATATATATATATATATATATATATATATATATATATATATATATATATATATATGTATATATATATATATATATATATATATATATAAACACTTGTTAAAATCGAGCAAAACTGCCCGTGTACTGGATCGGGACGAGCACGTGTTTTTACGTGTTTCAACTCTTTAGAATTAAAACACGTAAAAATGCGTGTTCGTCCCGATCTAGTACTAAACCGAAAACACAGGTAGTTTTACTCGAGTTTAACAAGCGTTAAACTCGAGTAAAACTACCTGTGTTTGGGCATGCGTATTATAAGTTTTAATATGTCCGAAATAAAACTACGCATACTCAAGTAATTATTTTTGCCTTTCCTATCCCTTTCCCGTAGAAAAGCGGATGAGTGGAAACGCACCTTTATAAATATATTGCCATTTGTTTTAATAACTTACCGTTTTAACTTAATTTTGAATATGTTTTTGGTTTTTCATTTTGTGTTCATCATTTCTGAATATATTTATCTAGGTAAAACTAAATCTGGTAAAGTAAACTCGCCGAAATAGGTCTAACATAACTTTAGAATTTGCTCAAAAATAAATATAATTCATATTAAATATATAATTAAAATGATTTTAAATTTAGAAGTCACAAAAGTTTCCACGTGGTACTATGTAAACACAAACAAGACTTTTCGTTTTTATAAGTATTGTGCAAAAATGGTAAACCAATCAGAAACTAATGCGTTGTTGGAAAACGAGCTTTTTGTTCAATCTAATCAGTTTTTATTTAAAATTGGTGTGGAAGTTTGCGAAGACCGCAATATTATTATTTGTAACGGACCTCTCAAACCAAATCATAATTACCGGTAGGTAATTTATATATATATATATATATATATATATATATATATATATATATATATATATATATATATATATATATATATATATATATATACACCTTTATATATATATATACCTTTATATATATATATATATACCTTTATATATATATATATATATACCTTTATATATATATATATATACCTATATATATATATACACTAACTTTTTTAGTGATAATAAATAATTTTTTTTTTTAAGAAATTTTTTAGAATACTTTGCAACTATAAATTTTGTAAAGTTGAATTGTAATATATTGTAATAATTTTTGCAAAATTATGCAGACAATACAAATTGCAGTGAATATCTACTTTTTTTAAAAAAAAGAAACTGCAATCCAGTTTACGCTATGGATTGCAGCAAATAATTTATTAAAAGTATCTAAAAATATAATCTTCATAAATATTGAAAAATTAATAAAACAGTGTAATATTGAATAGAGTGAATAGATATTTATATTACTAATGAAGTTATAATAATAATAAAATAATAATATCAATAACAGTTCATTTTTCTTTAGAATCCAAATAGAATTTTATTACCATGGTAACTTAAGTGTTGAAGCACATTTTACAAGCATTTATCACACTAGCAATAAAATTAGTATGGGAAATTTCAATGCTTAAAGATAACAAATTTGGTTGGATGATTTAACAATAAAACCTTTAAATGATTTTTAAGTTTAAACGTATATTTTGATGGTAACAAGTTTGTATGTTTATATTTTAGGTAAACAAGTTCCGTTTTGGTTACGTACAAATATTGTAGTTTTAATTGTTCTTTGTGCAAGCCTCTTCATTCTTGTTTTTGTATTTACCGTTATCTTTGGAAGAAAGAAATATACCAGGTGAGTTATTTAATTAAAAATATCTTATCGTTTGAAACAAAAAGAATTCTGGGTTTGACACCCAACAAAATGAAAATGTGTTTAAAAAAAAAAAAAGGAAGAAGAATTTAGAAATCAATTTCTTTCCAAACTTTAAAAATATTTAGTAAAGTGATCCTAAAAGAAACAATTTTTTAAGCTTTTAAGTTTAATCTATAAAAGGGTTGCAGTTTTTTTGGACGGGGTTAGGTTATTGAATTTTGATGATATTTGTGGTTATTTCAATACAAGTTTTTGCAGTTAATTTAAGTTAATTTAGTACAATTTAAGATACTTATTTTAAGTTGATGTTATAAAATGTTTTTAAGGAATACATAGTATATAAGAGTATAGCCCACCAAAATATCAGGTTGGCTTTGAAACCAGTATACTAGTTTCAAATTCTTTTGTTTCCAGTTTAATGGTTGATTTGAGAAAAAAAATTATGAACGTATTTTACGTAAATCGAATATTTAAAATAAAGACTAGTTTTCTTTGAGAAACTATTTTGGGATAAACTTTTTTATATAATGTATGTACTTCCCCAAACAAGTTTTTAACAAAAAAAGCAATCATTTCGGCTACTGATTTCATTCGAGTAACAAAAGAAATAAAGTTTATTTTTGATTTTAGAGAAAAAGTTCTATTGTGGTTAAGTGGCACAGGTGTGGTTAAGTGACTAAGTGGCACAGGTGTGGTTAAGTGGCACAGGTGTGGGGCGAAAATACATTAACAAAAATTACAAATAAAAAATATTAAAATTATAGGCTACTTATAAATATTTTAATGAAATTAAAATGTTTATTTTATTATATTAAAGTTTTTATTATAAATATTTTAATGAAATTAAAACCTTTGAAATCATAAACCACGAAACCTTATAAATATTTTAATGAAATTAAAATATTTATAAGGTTTTTTATTTTAATGAAATTAAAATATTTATAAGGTTTTTTGTGGAAACCTTATAAATATTTTAATGAAATTAAAATATTTATAAGGTTTCCACAATTTAGCTACATAAAAGAGATATGGGAGATCAATTATTTTTCTTTTACCTATTTCACCCTTCGCAAAATCGCTTTTTGGGGTACTTTTCAACTTTTAAATTTTTGAGGTCTCCCACTTCTCCCCACTCTCCCTTAATATTCCATAGTAAAAATTACTGCGTCGTTTTATTCTGACGTGTCGAAAACAGAATATGTTAGTTGATCGGCAACAAAACCACTAATTAGAATATGCTAGTTGATTGAAACTAAATCACCAATCAGAACATGTTAGTTGATCGGCAACCAAACCACCAATCAGAATTTGTTAGTTGGTTGAAACCATCAGACTATTTAAATTGATCGGCAATCAAATCACCAATCAGAATATGTTAGTTGATCAGCAACCAAATCACAAATACAAAGGCAATAAAAGAATACGACTAATTTACAATAAGAAAAAACGACAAATTAAAACTGAAAAACTAATTACATTAAGTTAAAATTAAAAAAGTTAAAGTTAAGATTTAAACGCTTTAACAGCAATAATGTATTATAGTACATATGCTATAATACACTTAAATGCAAACTGAATAAAAATATTCAAAAACCCACATAAAAAACTCTCTTTGTAGGATTTACCTCTTCACCATTTTAGACAAACGTGGAGCTTTGATTGAAAATAAATTTTGAATAAATTTGTAGAGCCAAATTGATTATTGTTCTTGTTTTCAGATATTGCACCCAGTATAAGAATTTAAAAAAGTTGATTAGATGATGTAAAAGACCTTAAATAAAAATTTCATGTTTTTGTTAGATTTTAAAGTATAGTTTTTAGACGTAAAGCAACGTTAAGTTAAAATATTGATTTGAGCACTTCATTAAATCTTCCTTAATTGACACACAGGCATCTGATCTCTATGTGGCATTATATCCATTTTTCTGTATATTTGTTTATTTTTTTTAGATAATTTGATGTGTAGAGTTTTGTGTTATCGCTATTTTTTTTGCTTCAAATAATTCCACAAAATGTTTTTGTAAACAAAAAATTTTTTTTATATTTTTCTGGATGACAATTACCCACGTATTATTTGAAATGTAACAATGAAATAAGCAAAAGTCATTTCAAATTTTGGATTGTAGGGAAAGACGGGGCAAGATGGCGAGCGTTTTGAAAACCCTGAGTTATTGCAAAATTATCAATCATGAAGCAATAATACTTTGTCAGTATGTTTGTTTTATAACTGCCTGCATAAATGCAAGTTTGCAAGTAGAGTAATTTGTAATAAAAATTAAAATGTAAAATTTATAAGATGATTTATTATGCGTTTTTTCTCTCTAATTTTACAAAATTTTTAAAAGCTTCTAACTCTTTAACTAAAATAACACAAAATAAACACAAAAATATTCCTAAAAAAGTTACACTTGAAGGACACCATCAGTTAGCAATAATCGAAACCAAGATATCTTATTTTAGGCGCAAAAAATAAAACTTATAAAATTACGTTAAAAGTATTTTAAAAACCGGTGTTTTAAAATACAAGATATAAATAAAGTTTCGTTTCCACCAATTTTTAAACTTTTTTGTTTAAAAAGCTAATTTGCCCCGTGTATGATCCGTGATAAAAATTCATAAAATCTGATAATATTAATGCGCTAATTTAATATTATTAGTCGAATTACGTCATTTTCTTAAATAAATACAAATAAAACTTGTGTTATGTTTAGTTAAATCACAAAAAATTGCAACAAATTTGTTTACAAACCCATCTGCTGTTGTCCAGTTTTATAATTATTTAGTAATATCAGAGGCGGATCCAGCATTTGAGTTAACTAAATTCCTGACATAAGGTAAACACCAAATATTTATATGTTCATACTTATATCAAATAAGGATTTGCAAAAAAATGCAACGATTGGAGTTTTGGAACAAAAAAATGAAATTTAAAATTTATCGATGAATATAATTTTAGTTGAGAATAGTTAAAAAAATATTTTATCAAGTTGTTACTCTCACGTTTAGGAGAGTTGTGGACAAATTTTTAAGTCTTTTTGGTTCCCAGTCTTCAATCATTATAAATTATTTAAAACAATTACAAATATATGTTAGAGTTTGTTCCACGTCTAGAAGTTTGATATCTCAAATACCAAAAAATCAGCCCCTTTGTTTAGCGGTAGTTGAATCTTATTTCTTCTCTGAATTATTTACAAAGTAGAATAAATAATTTTTCCCAATCTCAGAACAGACACAATATTAATCTTGTTTGATCAAATGTTAGCAAAATTTAACATACATGTTAATTAAGAACAACCTAAGCGTAGAAAAATATACTTTGAGATATTTGCCAAAAACTGTTTAATATTCGGTCAATGTGTTAACCCAATATTATGTTCGTTTTGACTTTAAAACCAATTATCTTTCATATAAGGCTTCCTTGATTTTTTTTCAGGTGCAACATTTATAATGAATCATATTCAACATCTAACTGAAAAATTCAATTTTTGCATTTAAGGTGTTTTGGATTGTCACCTTTAGATATCTTAATTTTTCACATTTAGCTATCTTAATATTCCAGAATAAAGCTTATACCAGAAATATTATATTGAAAAATCCTGCATCCTTGGCTGCTACTAATGCAATCCTATCTATTGAGGCAGTTGATTTGAGTAATTCTACAGTTAATGGGTTTAAAATAAGTGAGTTAAAAAGATTAAAATAAAATAAAAATATTTTGAAATACTTAATAAAAATTTTTAACTTGATATAATATATAATATATATTTATTTAATATTCTCCACCGGTAGAGAGTATTAAATATACGGTGCACACAAAACGGTGAAACAAAAAATATGAAAATATTTTTGGTCTCTTAACTGTAGCATTATTTTATATAAAACTATCCTGTGGGGCTTTTTTGTTATAAATTGTTTTACCTTTTTTATTGCCCTAATTTGTTTGATTTTCTCCTCAGCTAACGTGTTAGCTACACCTTTTCAATATTCTTGCGTTTCAATAAGTTAAGAAGATGAAAAAAATTTTGAATTAAAATATAATTTTTTAACTATAAATATAATTAAGCTAAATGCATTTTTATAACAGTATGAATATATATATATATATATATATATATATATATATATATATATATATATATATATATATATATATATATATATATATTCATACTATGTTAAAAAAATGCATTTAGCCGAGAAATTGATTCATTTAACTGGGCATGAAATGACACTCATGATGTTGTACTAAAATAAATGTACATTGGTTGAGAATCTAGATAGACTTCTTTATATCTAGATAGCACTTGCCCAAACCCAAAATCTCTGTAAATGTACGGATGTCCTTGCGGATGGTTATTTTTGTATGATGTTATATACAAGGTTAAGTATGTAACAATATTTATATACACATTTTTTTTGTCAATAGAATGTTCGCATCATCCAGCAATTACTTAAGAGTAAACAAACACGGTAAATATCTTGAAAATGCTGAAGATCTCTCTCTTAAAATGTATTTCAAATAATTTTAATAAGGTAAAAAACTTGTTTTAAGGACCACCCTAATTTACATATTTGGGTGGTCCTTAAAACAACTTTTTTTTAAAATGTCTGCTCAACCTCTCAAAATGTGTTCTATATAATAAAATAATACTAAAACTAAAAAATTAAAATTAAAGTTATTTATAATTTTAAAGGATAGCTCAATTATATTTTTGAATGAGCAACTTATATCATAATATGTTATTTTGGACACGGGTAAAATGCAAAAATGCGGGAATTCTCAATGTGTAAAATGCGAGAAAAAAATTCTCTGAACCCCAAGTTTATCTGTCCCCCAACCAAAAAACTTAGTCAATGATGGTAGATTCAATCTTCTTGGTCTTTTGCAGTATTAAAGATATCTTAAGCTGAAAGTCAATTTTGTTGCTTTGCGTTGAATAGATTTAACAAAGGTTTTATCAGTTTTTAAATAAGAAGCCTAGATAGAAACTGTATATTTATGGTGTGGTCACACTTTACATTTATGGTGTGGTCAAAACTTTATATAACTAGAGAGCCATTTTTTTATCAATGAAAGTGAATGTCTTTTTGCATACCAAGAATTTGTAAGGACTTTAAGACAACTGTTCGAAAATGTGAGCTCCACTTGGCGTTACCTGAAATAATGACTCCTAAATTACGCATATTGGTAGAGCATTTTAGGGATTTACTATGCCTTTTTATTTTGTTTCAAATTTATTCCAAAATATCTTAATTTTAATAAGTCTGTTTTGAGGTATAGAATCAACGCTTTGGCGAAATTGATATAACATCAATAAACTGGTGAATTACAATAGAAGATGAAATAAAATCAAAAGTCTTTATTAGAGTAGTCACGCATAATTTATGGGAAAGAAAGCCTCATTGATTTGCAGAGAGCATTTTATAATCGTTAATGTACTTAAAAATTTTTTTCTTAACAAGTATTTTGACTATTTTGCAGGCTACAGAGTTTAGCGAAATAGCTCGATAGTTTTCAGCAAGTAATTTATCTTCCGTTTTTTTATAGACCGAACTAAAATTTGCTTAACTCTATATTAAAATTAAAGAATTTATGAAAGATTTTTGTAAATGGAAAAAATATTTATAGGGTTTAGATTGGTAAAATAATAATGTCTGAAACAGAAAAACCCAAGTTGTTATTTCACTTCATTCAGGTTAGTATCACTTTTTTAACGATAGAAATTATTCAGAGGGATATTAATATCATTTCTTTTTTATGTGGAATAGAAACATTTTTCAATTTATTTTTCATACTAGTAAAAATGATATGACTATTTTCACGAGACAAGTTTTTTAAAGGCATTTGATGACGGTATTAAATGTTTTGAAAGAATTTGTAGAAACTCTAAATATAAAACAAGAACCTTTAAAAGAATAAGTTACTCGCATGTAATTTGAAGAATAGTATGCTTAATTAAACTATTTTTTTAAAAGTCAAATTAGTTATTGTCCAAGAATTTATTTTCAATAATTTAAGAATAGACTCGGTTATTCATTAATATCTCTAATATTAAAGAAACGGAATGTGCTGATATAGGGTATTTATATTTGTACGATCTTCTGTCTTAAAGATTGGCATTATTATTATTTTTTTAAATATAAAATGAATTTTCATAAATTTTAACTACTTGAGAAAAAGTTAGAAGTTACCAAGAACAATTATCAACATTCGTAAAATCAACTAAAAGCGTAAATTACAACGAACGCTGTTAAAGTATGACTTATCTCATGGTCTAAAAGCTTCAAAGAATCAATCGATTTGAACTTATGTTTATGGAAACAGGCTTCTAAAAAAGGTCGAAACATAAATAGACACGATTGCTAAGGCTTCTGATTAAATTTGAAAATAACTTGCTGCTTTTAAGTACAAATTTTTTAAATCATTTTAAACACAAATTTTTCGGTCATATCATAAAAAAAACTGCTCCAGATTTTGTTATGGTATGACCGAAAAATTTATAAATAGATTTTTATGCTTTAATTGGCGTGTTTTAATTTTAAGCAAATTCAAATTCTAGTATGCATTTAGTTGCTGAAAAAAAAAAAAAAAACATATTTGACTATTATTTTATCATAAGCTTTTTTGTAAAGTTGTTATTAGTTATCAAAAGAATTTGGTTAATAGCGCCAGATTCAGCAAAATCAAAAATTAATTAAATTAAATCTCAGCTGTCTCTTCAAATTAGCTCTCCATCGCAAGCGTTTTTATAAATAATTTCACACCATCTAAATGTAAAATCACACCGTAACCAAGTTTGTAAAACATATTTAAGTGAAATGTGGTCGAAGCGTTTAGAAAGCTTAAAAAGTATTTACTAACATTGTTGTATCTTTTTAATTTCAGATAACGTGAGCGTAATGGAATTTTTTGTTTAAAAAACAAAATTGTTTCAAGATTGACGCTGTGTGCAGTTTTTTATGTTATTAAAAATAATAATTTAAGTTTAAACTTCTTAAAAACAATTTGATAATTTTAAATATTAATTCTCTTCCAGTATTCATGATTGTGAATAGTTTTTGCAAAACTACTTAAATTCTTTAAGGTGTTTTGCAAGAATTATTTACAATCATGAATACTTTTTTCTTTTTTTAGTTTGCACAAAGTTACTTGCACCTGCAAATACTATCAAAAAATTATTACATATAAAATAAAGATCCTCTTTGTATCTTTAATTGGTTTTGTTTAATTCGGTTTTTTTTAATAAATGTAATTACATTTATAAAATAATAAGTTAAACTAATGTATTTTTAAATATAAATATAGAGCTATTTAGTGTTTAGTTTGAATAAAAATGATTAGAGACAAAAAACTAGACTCCAAGCTTTCAGAAGAAAACTACGTGTTGTTCAATAAAAAACGTGTTTCTTGCCACAATATACCATCACATGAAAAGCGCGAAAAATCATTGAAAGAGACCTTAATTCACTTAGCGTTTTATACAAAAAATCACTTTAGTGATAAATATTCAAAATATTTTTTAAATTCTTCTAATGCCATTGATAGAAACCGGAAGACCTCGCACGAAAACACGCAGCAAAATACTAAATCCGCACTTGTGCCTTCGTGTCAGAATAGAAGCGCTGGAAAAAGGAAATTCGATTTACTATTAGAGAGTGAAAAATCAGTCAAAGGAATGACCAGGTTTCTTGTTTTAATTTTATAGAGTTGTTTATAAATAAAAAGTTGAATTATATTGCTTATTTGTATTACTTTTTGCGTACATTAGACCGGTATCAATACGCGACTTCAAGGCTTGGGTTGATCGTAGTACTTCCGATAGTGGGTATAGATTTGCAGAAGAATTTGAGGTATTTGATCAAGCAACTTTAAATATGTTTTTTTCTACTTATATTTTACAATTTACTTTTAAACTATATTTTAATTTAAAAACGCCATATAAATTTATTAAACAAATGTCGTCATCACGAATATATTTAATAACAACATTGCATACGCATTTGTAGATAGTACTTTTAAAAACCCTAACTAATAATTTTATTTAAGGTAATTCCTCTAAATATATATCTTTATAGACAATTGATAATTTTTAAACTTTAGTCTATGCGTGATGTTGGAAAGTTGGAACGCCACGAAGTTGCTAGCATACCGGAAAACCGCGGAAAAAACAGATACACCAATGTATTACCGTGTAAATACTTTTTCTTCAAATTGGTATTTTTTTTTAATGTGGTTGTTTCTAGTTACCTAATTACCATAGTTTAAATCAGTAAACTTTTGAAAGTTTATTTGTTTCAGTTTCAGCTATATTTGAGATTTGGATTTAAAAAGAATTTACATTTAAATTAATTATTAACTCAATATTTATGTATACATCTAATACTGCTGTTTTAGGTGAGCAGTCTGACGTCATACTGACAGCCTGCTGCCGGGGGCTTTAGTACATACATTGACTGACAAATAGCCTGACTCGCAGCGGAGTGCTGCTTAATCAACTGAGGGTTTGGCATGGGGCAGCTATCTTTTCTTTCATTATTCTTCGTTTTTTTCTTCTTTTTCTGAAAATTCATATTTAATTGATGTAACAAAAGTATGGCAACAATTTGTTACATAATTATGCTATAGTAGATATATATATATATATATATATATATATATATATATATATATATATATATATATATATATATATATATATATATAGATATATATATATATATATATATATATATATATATATATATATATATATATATATATATATATATATATATATATATATATATATATATATATATATATATATATATATATATACAGTGGCGACAATATAAAAAAGCACTAGTTGGTTTAACATTTGGATATCAACTTTTATGTTTTTATAGCAATCGCTGTTATTTTTTATAGCATCAACAATCTTTACTTTTTTGAACAGAACTACTCATTAGACATTTATAACTATCAAAACTGCTTGTTTTGAGCATTTTAGCGTTTAAATTTTTAAATTCATTTTAAATAACACACACTTACTTGTTTTAATGGTCCAAAAAAAGTACAATCCAGTGACTAAAGGGTTCGGTTGGAGAGAGATGAGAACTATTTCGTTTGCAATACTTCGCGATCTTGATGTTTACATGGCTTTTAAGACCATCAGCAAAAATTATGACGGATATTTTTATTATTTTCGTCAAGCCATTTGACAAGGCCATAAAAAAAAAAAAGTTCTATCAAAAGAAAATCATTATACTCAGTATTATAAGGATAAACTTGCAGTTTGTTTTGCAAAAATCATATTCTTTCAACTATGGGACAAGATAAATATGGAACAGGTGACTTTTGAGGACAGGTGCAGGCATTTTGAGGTCAAGAATTGAACAGCTCTGAAATAGCTCAAAGATTGAGTTGTTTTTGTAAAAAAGTTATCAATGCTGTTAATTTGTTTAACAATACTGGTTCATTAAGCAACAAAAAACGCAAGTTATGTGAACGAAAAAACAGCCCCCAGAAAAGGCGCAACCATTCTCCGTATCTCTAAGCTAAATCATTTTGCTGGCGCACCAAAAATTTGAGATCAAATTACCCAAAATTTACAAATCAATCTGTCTGTCATCACTGTCAAATGTCGCTTACGCAAAAATAAGCTATTTGGAAGAGTTGCCCTAAAAAAACCATTGGTCTCAAAACGCAATCTCGTAAGTCGTTTGAAGTTTGCAAAAAAGTGCGTACACAAAGAGGTACGTTTTTGGAAATAAGTGCTTTGGACTGATGAGTTTAAGTTTAATTGCTTTGGATCCGACGGAAAACAATATGTTCATTGTTCCCTAAACCAAGTGCTCAGCCAACAGTATACTCTAAAGGCTGTAAGATTTGGTGAAGGCAAGATGATTGTTTGGGGCAGTTTTTCATGGTGTAGCCTGGGCTTGTTACATAGAATTCAAGAGACAATGGATCAACACATGTACAAAGAAATACCTGAAAACGTCATGTTACCTTGAGCTGAGGAAAATTTTCTTTTGGTTTGGAAAATCCAATAACACAACCCGAAGCACACCGCCAAAAGTGTTAAAATGTGGTTTAACGCTAATAAGATTGATGTTTTAGAATGGCCCGCACTGTCACCAAACCTAAATCCGATAGAAAATTTGTCAAAGAGAATTGACAGAAACATAAGTCAATCAACTGCAACAAATTTAGACCAATTTTGGATTAAAATAAAGGCTGCTTGGGATGCCATTACGCCTGAACAATGCCAAAAATTGATCTCGTTAATGGGTTATCGTTGCCAAGCAGTTATTGACTCAAAAGGATAACCATTAAATATTAATTTACCTCAAATAAAGTTTTCTTCACGATTTATACAAAGAACTTCTATGATTTTTATAACAAAGGGACAAAATGATAATTCTTTAACAGGTTGTGCTACTTAAATTGGCCCCTTATTTTTACCTCTAAATCATTTATATGATCAAATTTTTTTTAACTAAGTTAATTTATTTTTTTACTCAGTAATGTTATCTTCTAAAACTAATATTTTATTAGACAAAAAAATTTGGATCTCAAAAACTCAGATCACTAGAAAATATATTATTATATATATTTAACATCAATCTGTGCTATTTATTTTGTCGTCACTGTATATACACATATATGTGTATATATATATATATATATATATATATATATATATATATATATATATATATATATATGTAATATTTTTTTAGATGTAATATTTTTTTAGATGATTATACTCGTGTAAAATTATCATTCATTGACGATGAGCAAGGCTCTGACTACATAAACGCAAATTACATACACGTAAGTTCACTAAGTTTACTATTTAAAATTATTGCTCGAAAAAGTATTCTATATTGTAAGTAAAATGGCGCTAATATACTGCACCACCCTAATACGCTAATATACTGCTTCTTTCACATTTGAATTTAACTATTTTGATTACTCTGAAAGATGTTTGAAAAGAACAAACAACTTTTTTCATCAAAATAATGTGTTTTAAATGGAATATAATGATTTGAAAGATACCTAAAAAACGTTAATGTAATTTAAAAGAATATAAAAAACCGTTTTAGTCTGGTTTTTATTGATCTTTTAATTATAACTTAAACGGACAGTAAAAATAGCTATATGGTGATAATTTTTTTTAATTTAAATCCCATTATAAAAATGAAGCTGAGACAACCGGACTACATTAAATTTTTTGGAATCGATTTTGAATTAACAGCTTTTTTTTAGTTCTATTTTTTCTTATATTTTAAAAAAATAAAGAACTTTTGACAGTAAATATTCATTTTGGTTTAAAAATAATGTAATGTATATACATTGGATCTTATTATATATATATTTAATATATTTTAGAGAAGAACGGGGTAAAATGGGACCTGGGGTAAAGTGAGGCATGGCAATACGTCAGCAGAAAATTTAATTAGCGCAAAGTTTTTTTTATATTTGTGATAAGTTTAGAACAACTACAGTTATCTCACAAAAATGGATCACCCACAAAAATGGATCACCCACAAAAATGGATCACCCACAAAAATGGATCAGTCTTACTTTCCTTTGTAAATTTTGCTCTTAATTTCACTTAAAATGTTTTTATTGTTAATTAATGAATAAAAAAGCGTAATTAGAATGCGGTAATAGTTATTGTTACCACTCAAGAAAAAAAAAAAAACCGCAAAATTATTACGAGCAGCCAAAAAGTCAAAAGCTCAAACATCAATGCGATTGTTTTGCTAAGAAAGCAAAGTTTTTAATTATGTATTTTTTGCTTAAACCATTTGTTATTAATGTTAATATCAGTAATCAAAGGTTGAACTTTTCAATCATCTCGAAAAGTTAATAATTTAATTTTGCAATAAAACTTTGATTCATTTTGTGTTTTTTCTCATGAGAAATAAACATTTATGGATCAATTGTAATAAAATGAAAATAACATGAAAATCTAGTTTTCATATTGTTTTTTGGTTCTAGCAAAAAAAAAAAGTCTTCAGAGAGAATTTGCAGTTTGGACCAACAGTCTAAAGCACTTGTAATTGCAAAGAGAACCAAAAAAATCAGAGAAACCGCTGCAAAGTTTGCAAATTCTTACTCAACTTTGCAAAATAATGTTTTTGGTATCACCAATAAACCATGTCCTGAGACCGTTTTTACCATCGAAGGAAAACAGAAAATTGAAGACATAATAATTACCATTGCAAAAAATGGATTTCCTGTCACTGAGACAAGATCAGCTATGATTATTTCTAATTATGTTGCTAATGTTAGTACAAAAGACACATCCCCAAAATGTTTCTCAAAAAATTGGACTTCAAGATATTTAGCGCAACATCCAATCATTGGCAAGCAAATAACAATATTTCTGGGAAAAGCTGATTCGAAAATTTCCGATGTTCACATTAAAAACTGGTTTAAAGAGTTTGAAACAGGATAGCATCGATATCAACGAGTTTTGACACGTCTTTCAGCCTATTGCCAGAAAGAAAAATTGGTTTCGGAAGCTACAATTGGTCCTAGAAACATTTGGCACGACTACATGTTGTGCCAAATGTTTCTAGGACCCCGTTTTGCAATGAATTGCAGTTACTAGAGTCAGAATTAGGCTCACATCAATTTAAAAGTTTTGAAAAAAACAGCGAGAAAGATTTTTTGTATGGATTTATAACGGATACAGCGACTGTATCCGTTATATCAGCGTTATACAGCGACTGTATCCGTTTTGTCTTTTACAAGACTATAAAAGACAAAAGTGAGGGATTACTGTATATTCAGCCATTAAAGTTCAAAAAAGTTCATATCAGGAAAGAATGTGATTATAAATCAACACAACGTGACTAAATAATTCAAAAAATATTTGAAAACAACCGAAAAAAAATTAAAAACCAGAAAATCTTCATCCCACGATGGACTGCTTTGTTTGGCGAAGAGAAACGCCAAATGAAAATTCACGAAAACGTAAATTTGAACATGTTCCAACTATTGCAGCGAGCGATTAGTGATTGGAATGGTTTTAGAAAAAGGATCAAAAGAAAAAACTGAAGTAAAAAAAAAATACAGAATAGAAAAATTCAACGAGAGACATCAAAACTACAAAAAGAACAAGAAAAAACAGAAAAAATGAAAAATAAACTAAAGAAGAACCTGAAAGAAGATAAATTTGCTAAAAACTTAATTTTCACTGTTTTACAGTTTAAAACTGAAATAAAGAATAAAATATTTGTCTGAACCTTTTGATCCATAGTTGTGTCTATTCTGATCCATAATTGTCGTCGCTATTGTTAATTATCCATAATTATGTTTTTTATAACATTTTGCAAAAAATTTTTTTTTTCTTAATTGTGTTAGTAAAATTGTTTTGAAATGTTTACACATTTAAAGTAAACATTTCAATCTACAGATATTGTTTTTACAAAATAATATATCCTTCTTAAATGTCATTTAAAAATACATTCAAATTATAAAATAGCTTAAGTGGTCCATTATTGTAGGGTAACTGTACTTCCTATTACTGTGTTTTTTGAGTTTCAGAAGTATTTTTTTTTTCAAATTATTTCTGAATACTTTACTTTATAATAAAGCTGCTCGTTGTGATAAGTTCCCAGATTCGATAGATAAATACAGAAATTGTTTTGAAATTGCTTGATCATTTCGCGGAGTATGAACATTCTAGCAAGAATCATCTATTACTTTTAATAATGGATAACCAAAAAAGTTATTTATTGGTTGAATTTATGGTTAAAGCTAAGGAAAGCAATATTGTACTCTTGACATTTCCACTACATTGTCACAAATTTCAACCACTAGACTGATCAACCACTAGACTAATCAACCACTAGACTGATCAATATTTGGCTCATTAAAGAAATTTTAAAGTTCAGCGTGTGATTCATAGTTAAAGGCACATCCAAATATTCCTTTCTAACTTGTCCCATTTTATACCAACCGCTCTCCCATTTCACGCCAACACGGGTGGCATAAGACAAACATTAAAAAACATTATGTCACATTAAAAAAGTCTTGAACTTAACTCAATATTTAAGCAATATGTTTTTTAATAGTTCAAAACATTTCAGTGGAAGTTTTAACGCAGTTTTTACAGTTTTTGAGGAAAATATAAAGGGCAACATACAAACAAAAAATTGTGTCCTATCTCACCCCACTCTCCCCTATTTATACGATTACGAAAGATTAATAAAAATTTGTTGGGTAGCATTTCCTTTTTTTTTTTAAATCTTCTAAAATCCGCAAACAAATTGGTAAATTTAAAGGTGGAACAAAAGTGTATTATTAGTGCCAATTTCTTATAAAATAAGCTCAAAATTATGTTGGACAGCCGGATCTCACTGGTTCCCATCTAAAGTTGCTATTTTTCTTTCATTAAAATTATTTTTTACTATTAAAAAGTATTATTCTTTATAATGAATAATTCGACAATTATTTATTATAAAGTATCTGTCAATTAATTCACAAAGAACTAACTTGTACAGTGTCTGTGTGTCAGATCACAACAGCGCAGCGTAGGTCATTTGCAAAGAGATATTTTTTTAGCTCCTTATTTTTTTTATTTATTTTTTCGCACCACTTTAATCGTTTGCGCACGGGGCAAAGCCCTAATCGTTTCCTTGCTACGCTACTAGGTCACAATAACTATAATAGATGTGACAAGGCCAAAAATCTATTTAAGCTTTGCTGTGAGTGTACTAAAGTTTACCTAATCCATTAGTTTATAATCAGTAAGTTATGTAGCTTATCCGTAACATATATATAAATTGATAATTTGTAAGTTATTAGCCTAGGCTAATTATTGATCAAGGTTAACAAAAACAGTAAATTAAAATAGTGGCGGTGGTTAAAATAAAAACAAAACGAAGCAAAAAACTAGATTATAACATCACGCAAACTATATCAGCGAAAATATTTGCGATGGTTAAGGGTAATTTATAAACGAGTCTTAAAACTAGGAATTAAATATCTACAAAAATATAATTTTATGAAAGTAACATTGATTGAAAAGTTTCGATGCAGAGCCAACAACACCGGGGGGAAGGGGGAGGAGATAAAGCATTATGGTAAGTCTTTTTAAAATAGCTTTTTAAAATTTTTGCATATACAAAGTTTCTAACTGAATATATATATATATATATATATATATATATATATATATATATATATATATATATATATATATATATATATATATATATATATATATATACATACATTATATATTATATATATTATACTTTTAGAAAGAAACTAATCTGTAATAAATTATTATTTGAAAATGATTTATCTCATATATTATTGGACAAACTAAATATTTAGTATGATATAAATTAGAATATAACAAATATTTAAAAAATAAATTTATTTTTATCACATTCAATTTAGGGTTACAAAAATCCTCGTGCTTACATAGCGACCCAGGGTCCATTGCCTAGTACCACAGAAGACTTTTGGAGAATGGTTTGGGAGCAAAACTCAAATGTCGTTGTCATGTTAACTCAGTATATGGAGAGAGGAAAAGTAAATTACTAATATCAAAAAAAAAATTTTAAAGTAAATTTATTTTGATTTTAGTCCTTTTTTTTGTTTTGTTCTTAGGTAAAGTGTTCACCATATTGGCCGACAACTACCCCGATCAAATACGGCGATGTCACAGTAAAACGACTTAGTGAACATGTTTACATGGAATGGGTAGAGAGACAATTTCTATTGATGTGTGATGTAAGAATAAAAGTTTATCTCAAGCTTTATATAAGTTCAAAAAATATTGACAAATTTTGTTTTAATCATTTTCTTAAGTTTCAAAGTTAATTTTATTTTTTAACATAAAGAAGATTTTTTTTTTGAGGGGGAGGTGGAATTTCTTTCTATGTTTTTTAAATGCTGAATCACCAAAAATAACACTTTCATAAAGCTAAGAATTTGAGCTTACTTTACAGTCGTTTTACACAGACTTAGATCTTAGAAACTTAAATCATGTAGAATATATATTAAAAAAGTACTTAAAACTATTGCTGTTTTTAGATCCATAATAGCAACTACGCACATTTTAAATAAGACGTAAAAATTAGTCACATAATTCCTTATCACAATCATCATCAATCATCAATCATCAAATACTTGAAGTATTAATGAGATTCTAATTCGTATTCTAACTTATATAAAGATTAACCAAAATAATTTCATACAACTGATTTATAGAGACTGATATATGTATGTTTTAAGTATGAAAAAATGCAAACAGAGAAAAATAACAAACTATAAAAACAATAAATTCTTGCCTGATAGCTCTTAACTACGAGAAAAAAGTTTTAATCAAGGTTCGCTAATATATTTGGTCTTAAGCAACTTAGTTGCTAAGGACGTTTCAAAAATTTTGTACTTGTTTTCGGGGGCAGATCCAGTATTTTTTGGTGTTTGATATAGCTAACTTTCTGACTATAGAGCAAACACCAAACATTTATATGCTTATACTTATGTCAAATAAGGATGCTTTGGAAAAAAACTTTGCGATGATTGGAGCATGGGAATAATAAAAGCCTTAAAATATTGCCCGACAAAAATGCGAAAGCAACAAGTTGACAAAATATATATATTTTTTTACTATTCTCAACTTACGTTATACTCATCAATAAATTTTAAATTTCATGCAATAACCATTTAACATTCAAAAGTTATGACCATACAAAATTTGTTAGCCCTCAATTTGAGGGGGATTTTAATTTTATATGGTCATAATTTTTGAACACTAAGAGGTTGTACAATTAAATTTAAAATTTATGAATGAGTATAACTTTAGTTGAAAAAAATTTTTTGTAAACTTATTGCTCTCACTTTTGGGGTAGTTATGGCCAAAATTTAGGGCTTTTTTGTCTCCTGGCTCCAATCATAATTTTTTGCAAAGCATCCTCATTTGGCATAAGTACAAACATATAAATGTTTGGAGTTTGTTCCATGTCTGAAAGTTAGTTATTTAAAGTAACAAAAAAAGCTTTATCCCCCTCTGCTTGTTTTTAAAAAAAGTAAAATTTAGAAAAATTAAACTAAAAGAATATAAGTATATATTTTCTAAAAGAAAAAAACTAATCTTTTAAACTAAAATTAAAACGAAAATCTCATTTAAAAAAATAAATTTTATGTTTTATTTTGATGTAGGGAGAAAAACGTACCATTACTCATTGTCAGTATACAGCATGGCCAGACCACGGTGTACCAAAGTCGTCAATTGAGCTCTTACAATTTATCCAAACAGTAAGAACAATTCAGCAACCAACAGATGGCCCTCTTATTTGTCACTGCTCGTAAGTTTATTATAAGTATATGAGATATGTTTTTAAGTTTATTATAAGTATATGAGATATGTTTTTAAGTTTATTATAAGTATGTAACTCAAATTAAATTGTATTTTTTTATGTTTCTTATATGAAAAAATAGTAATTTAAATAACAGGGTGGACAAAATTGGAGGGGCACAATCACCAATATCTAGAAAAAATCCGCTATATCTAGGAATTTCTTTAAAAATATCAAAAAAGGTCCTTTAGAAAAAAAGTAAATGAGGCTAGTGCCCCCTGGTAAAATAGCAAATTAAAGTATAAAATTTCCAAATTGCTGTATATAGAAAATTTATGTTAATGTTATTGCTATTTAAATTTATACTTTTTTGTTATTGTTGTTGAAATATATTTGCTCTTTGTTTCTTTTGTAAATTAATTAAAAATAACATTAATCGAACCTGCAACTCACCCAATTGTAAAATCAATAAACAATAACAGGAATTGTTAGTGCAAAGTTTTTTTGGTGTTTGAGAGGTGACATGGAGAAAACTTTAAATTTTAGTATGTTTATGCTTATATCTAATAAGAATATTTTTTAAAAAGTTGCAATGGTTGTAACCTGAGAACAGAGGCAATTTTACGGATGGGGGTGTGGGGGTGTTCCAACCCCTCTCCCTCCCCCAAGAAGATGATTTTCAAGTTTTTAAGTTATAGTCGGTTTTTTTTACGAATTTAGCCGGCTAGTCGGGTAAATTTTAGTTTTAAAGTTTTAAAGTTCAAAATCATTTAATATACTTTAATTTGTATTATTTTTTGTTTCATAAATTTGATCTTATTAAAAAATTAGTTAAATAATTAATTTTTAAGGGCTGGAGTTGGAAGGACAGGAACCTACATATGCATAGATATTATAATGAATAAACTCCAAGCTGAAAATAATATTGATGTGTATGGAGTAGTCTCTGCCATGCGGACTCAACGATCCTCAATGGTTCAAACAGAGGTATGCACATGTTTTTTAAAGTTACAAATATTTTTAAAATGACACATCGTCGGCTCGGGATGCAATTGTCGTATTGCAAATTTATTAAAATTATATATAAGTATGTAATAACGTAACATATGTAAGTTTAAAGTTATGTAAATGTAAAAAATTATTTAATATAAATTATATAATTTAACGTTTTAAAAAAAACTTTTTTCATTAATATATTATATTAAATTTACATATATTAGATAATTACATATTTATATAAAACTTTAATAAATTTGTGGTACGACAATCGCATCCCGAGCCGACGACATGTCTGTCTCATTTTAAAAATATTTTTAACTTTATTTTAAACTTTTATCGTATCCTAATGATATTAGGATCACTATATTTTTGTATTTTTAAAATGTCCTTTAGGATCACTAATCTCTCATTATCAACTTTAGAATCACTAATCTCTGGTTATCAATTATAGAATCACTAATCTCTGATTATCAATTTTTGTCATGTCTTTTAGGATCAGTATATCTTCATTCATCGTGTTATTCTTGATTACTTAATTCAAAAAGAAACAACTGATCATATTTTTATTCTTAAAAGTGGTCTGCTTATAAACAAGGTGAATGGACGAACTTTTTCAAAACTTGTTGATGAAAATGTTGAGTTAGCATCAGAAGGTGAGATCTGCTTTGGTTACTGTATTTGTTTATATTTCAGTTGAACTATTTTATTACAAATGCTTTATTAACTCGTCGTCTCTGTCTGTTTATTTATTTGTTTTTTATATGAACAAAAGGATAACAATTTTTGAAATAAGTATATTGATTGTTTTCATACTTAACGCGCGTTTAGCATTTTTGGATTAGGCGTTGACTTCGTAAGCAGAATTTCTATGCTTTGAGACCCGCATCTTCCTGAACTTTTTTTTTTTTTTTTACACACGCATGCAGCCGAATTTTAACAAAATAAAACAGTAATACCAGAAAAAGTTGATTAAAAATTTATGTTTTAATAACATAAAAGCATTGGGTTTTAAAAATTCGTATTTAAATTTACTTGTTGAAAAGTGTGATTAACCAACTGAATAAAAATTTCTAAGTTAAAATTTTTTTGTTAAAAATATAGGGACGATTTTTAAACAACATTTAGGTAATTTAAGACGAAATTTAGGGATTGATTTGTTAATTGCAAAGAATTGTTAAACTACATTATTGTTTTACGTATTTAATGTATTAAACTGATTTGTAGCTTTTGTTTCCTGTAATCAATGAAAATATTAACTTAAAGATCACATATGATTAAAAATATTAACATAAAGATCACATATGGCTAAAAATATTAACATAAAGATCACATATGATTAAAAATATTAAAATAAAGATCACATATAATTAAATAGCTGCACTGATGATCACATAGCAGCGCAGCGATTTGAAATAAAAAACAGTTTGAGTAATTTTAATTACGCAACATCATTATAAGTAAAAATTTACCATTTTTTGAAACCTTTTATGAGTAAAAATCATTGTAAGTAACAATGAATTACTATTATGAATTACTTTCTGCAATTTTTTAAATAAAACGACGTTTTAAGTAACAGTTTAAAACAATTTTTGCACAATAGTTTAACTTATTATTTATTTAAAAATAGTGTATTCCTAAAATAAACCGCTTTTTTTTTTTTAATATAAAAAAAAAAAAAAAGCGGTAAAGATTGTAAATTGTTACTTATAATGACATTTTGTTAAAAACAAACTTGAAAAAAAAAGACGCCAAAAAAATCCTGGTTACCGTTTTTTCTACTTACATGTTTGTATACACTTTCTTAAATGCACTTATTAGTTCATGTTTTTTTGGTAATTTATTTTAGCTCTTCTAAGTGAAGAGAAGCAATACGACATTTCCAAAAGTTCACCAACAAGTATAAAAATCGAAGATATAATTGATATCAACGAAACGGTAGCATAGTTGAAATAAGATTTTAATCGGTTACAATGGCTCGTTTTACCTACGCGTCTTTTAATATTTATAGTCAAAAATAAAAGATATTTTTATAATTATTTGTTTTTTACTTTTAAACATTAATTTTTTTATTTAATATGCATTACTTATTTTAAATATATTTATTATTTATAAAATAATAATTATTAGATGGTTTCATATCAAATTATTTAAATTTTTTCTCGCACTCACCATGTAATTATATAAAATAGATTATATTTAATTATCCGCGTTGTATGGTTAATTATTATTAAAATATATTTTTAAGGGCCAGTAACTTTTTTAATTGATAATGTAATAATTGAAACGTTCGTAAGTAATTTGACCTCCATGTTGAATTATGTGATAATTTTAAAATTTGATAATATAAAATATAAACAAATTTGGAAAAACTTAATTTAATATTACGCGTTTTTATGAAGCAATATATATATATATATATATATATATATATATATATATATATATATATATATATATATATATATATATATATATATATATATAAAGATTACAAATTTTTGTGTTAAAGCCATATTATCTGAAATTTGATTTATGTTTATCACTAAAACTTATTTAAAATATTTACATATGTTGTATTCACTTTATTTATTTAAGATATAAATGATTGAAAATGGTATACTGGACAAAGTTTTCGGGTGCGCAGTTTAAAAAAGGAAGCAGATAAAGCAATCGAACTAATCAAATTGAGTAATTTTACTGAAAAATTTCTATATCCTCAAGAGTGTTCTTGCAAAACTTCTGAGACATCAACTTTAAGGTTAGAAAATAATAAAAAAGTATAGGCAAGTTATGGAATGGTGAGTTTATTAGCCAACAACAAAAGAAAACAACAGAAACGGCAAAAGATATCCTTAAAAGACGGTAATCAAAGAAACTTGCTTAAAATAACTAATGAAAGTGTGAAAATCGGTTTTTCAGATCCTGCTTCTTAGGAAAACCTACCTATCAGTAACAAAAAATTAAGAACGCTTTTGATTGAAAATGGCCCGAAACGAGTCTGCAAAGACCAATCTCTAGATATAAAAAAATATATAGTTTGAGCAGTGCGTTATAAAAGAAAACTTTTTATCTACTGATAAGTTACTGATAAAAAACTATCTACTGAAAAAGTTTTCTGTTTTTTCTGCAATCTGAAGAAAATTTAATTTATGCACAAAATGTTCAGAATTGTTCAGAATGGATGCAATTATTGGCATAACGTATTAGTATTTCTCTCTTCATATAAAAACGTTTTATGCACATTTTCAACTTCATCACCAAAAAGTGCTTCTGAGCAAGTTATAAGACATACAACTACTGATAGCGTAGATTAAAAAAAGCTTAAAGAAGAAGAAGAGCCCTGAAATCAGATCTTAGAGCGAGTTATATCTTTTGTAAGAGTTTTAAGTGTACACAACTTGGCTTTTTGAGGCAACACTGATATACTTTATGCTTATGGCAAACTTTAATTTTAAAGTTCTAAAATTCTTTTCCTTGTTTGATCCAATCACGAATAAACATCTCAAAAAGATAATGGGAAAAAAAAAGTTAACTATTTGAATAACTATTTAAAACGAACTTATTAAAGTGCGATTTAATGGTATCAAAGAAAAAATCATTTTTTTGGTTAAAAAGAGATTGATGCCAGAACTCCCATCAGATACCAGTTACCACATGTGTATGACACATTATTTGAAATTACTGAAGATTTCTAAAAATGTCATTCTGGTACGATTATTAAGATTGAAGCTAAATCTTCTAAAGAGCATATGTTCATTAAAATTTTAATATGACAACATTGTAACATCAAAGAGCATATGTTCATTAAAGTTTTAATATGACAACATTGTTGTGGCAATTGTAACATGCGATAAAATTTTAGATCAATTTGACAAGTAAACTTTTGCAAAAAAAACAATTTACTGAAATACAAGTAAATGAGCTCAAAAATATAGAAAAGTATTTAAAAAACGTGAGGAGTGACTTTGAATTTTAGAGAGTTTTGGTTGATGCTTAAAAGATCTTTGAGAAAATCGATTTTGAAGCAATTTTCCAAGATAAAAAGGAGCAATTGGAAGTTTTTTACTTAAGAGTCAGAAGATAAACTCCTTGATAATTTCAAAGAGAAGTTTAGAGTTAATTTCTTTTTTGAAACAGTAGACACTGCAATTAGTTCTACATAAGGCGTCGTTCATAAAGTACGTACGCCAAAAATTTTGAAATCTGACCTCCTCCCTCCCCCCTGTTGTCATGCGTCATTCTAAGTTCTTATCCCCCTTAAAAAATACGTACGTTTTTGAAATACCCCCACCCCCAACTTTTTTTTTAATGAAAGAGGTGAAGGAGGTACCTTACTTTGTTCGATCCAAAAGCTCTTTGTTTGCAGAACATGTGCCCCAAATCTAAATTTGGATTCTGTGCTCAGGATCCGAATTTAAAAAACCTATTCAAATATTATTTTTGATATAGTTAAATTTTCCGTAAACATTGTGTTCGCTCGGTCAAGCGGTTAGTGCTCCGGTCTGCGGAGACGGAGATTGGTGTTCGATCTCCGGTCGTATTTTTTAATGACAAATCAAATAAAAATAAACTATACTTAAGGTGGACCTTTTTTTTTGGCACCCCTATTGGCGAGATCAGTAATATCGAAAACAAGGCCTAAAACCCAGTGCCGAGGATAGGCTACTCGTACCCCATAATTTGGGGAAGGGGGAAAAAGAGTAAAAAATTTTATGTCCTTTTGTTAATTTAAGGAGCTTTTTATTTTAGCGAAACCTAGCGGTAAAATTTGAGAGATTTTGAAACCTAAATGACACGTTTATTGGGAGGGCCTCCGACCCATTAGCCACGGCGCAGCTAAAACCTGTTTTTTGTCGACTCAAAAAACAGTTTGCCTGAAATACGTCTTACTCAGGGCCAGTATATAAGGGGTGGCATGTTTGCATGGGCACCCGCAGGATTTTTTGATGTTCTATATAGAGCACTTTCACACATTTGGCATAGATATACTTAAGTTTGGAGTTTGCACAAGCTCCAAACATAAGTATGCTTATGCCAAAGGTGTGTACATTGTGCAAGCTCTAAAATTTAAGTATAACTATGCTAAATGAGGAGGCCTTGCAAAAAAGTGGGATGGCGGAAGCCTGGGAACAAAAAATAGCCCTAAATCGCTTCCTTTCCCCGGCCCAAGCGAGAGGGCACTAATGTAGTAAAATTTCAACTTTACTATCTAAAACTAAATTTAAATTTATCGACAGATTTTAAACTTCGTAGAAAAATAATGTAAATTGATTTCATCAATATCATTGCCAGGTACATTAAGGATTTTCTCAAAACTGAAAGTAATAAAAACCTATTTACGCAGTACCATTAGGCAAGACTTGTTGAACTTGCCTCAGTTTTAATAGAAAAAGAAACGACTTACCAACTTCATTAAATTAAAAATCTTATAAAAGAAGTTTTAAAAACAAAGAGGAGGTACTGTTGGATTAAAAGAAAGAACTGAAAAATCTAAGTTAAGTAAATTAAAATTACCAAATTTATGATAAAGTCTAAATTCTTTACCAATGTTTTATTTGCCTTCTAAGCTTTTGTAATTGGCTATTTGATACAAGGTATGCAATATATAGGACGCTAATTATTTTATTTCAAATAGTGAAACCTATAGGCACCTAAAATATTTGGCTGTATCCTGTAAATAGTGAAACGGAACCAATTAATTTAACAGAAATAGTCCAGTGAAATAGGCAGGGTTTCAAAAACATAAAATGATACAATTTAAATAAATGACAATCAAATACAACATTGCCTAAATCTTACTAGTATTGCAATTGTTACCCTAAACAATGTGTTAAAAAAATTTTCACAACCAGAAGGGGCGGCATTTTTAATTTTCGCCAAGGGTGCCAAAATATCTAACAACGGCCCTGATAACAACCTTACGTTATTTTAGTACTAAGTAAACCTATTTTTGTCACTATAGTAAAAGATAATTAGTAATTTTTTGTTCTCTTTTTTAAAAATGATTTTATGAGCTCATTTCGAACATGCATAGAAAATGCTCCGTGGGAAGTTTTTGTGAAAACTATTACTGTACAGATAAACTTGTCAATGTTTACTAGTTTTAAAGTGATAAAAAATTATGTGTAAATTGGTTAGCGGCTTTACCAAATCACCTAAAGACAATAGGGCGTTTGTGAAACGCACTGGCCTTTGGGATGTAGAATGCACTACCTAGAAAGATCTAATCTCAGGTTAGCCGAATTAGAATATATAGACAGATTTTTAAATAAATGTTGTAGCTATTTCTGTTTGCTTTGTTTAGTTCACGTTAAATGGAAAGATATTTAAGCAAATATCTGTGTCAATGTCAATAATACCAATGTTATATAAGATGGGTTCCACAAGCTACTTTATAAGTAGCTTCTGGAACCCAAGTAGCCTTTCAACAAAAGAGATTTTTATTTTTATATTTAACATTATTCAACTTTCAAGATTCATCAGATCCTCCTTATAATATTTCCTCGCTGCTTTCCTTCAATGCTAAAAAAGAAACAACAACAAGCAAAACATTTCGCCAAAAAAATTAAAAAAAAAATTTAAAATTTGTTTAAATTAAAATTTGCAAAATTGTATATGTAAGAAAAATTTAGTAAATATATATATATATATATATTTTTAAGTGTTTTAATTTTAAATTTTAAAACAGTTTAAGATTGTATGTATTGTTTCAATTTAGTTAGTGTATTTTTTATAGTTCTTTTTATTTTTTTCATATTTTCGTCAAGAACCGAGTTCCATTAACGTGGTCCCCGATATGTAATTGAGATGTCAGATTCTCTTTGCAACGGTACAACTTAATGAGTGTCCTGATTCATATTTATGATTAATTAGAGAAAGATTTTTATAAAAATCTTTCGGATTTTTTTCATTTTTAAGTTAAAACATAAAAAACAAGTTATGGTAAATATTTAGTTTGTATACGTTTAGAGCATTTATTTCTTTGAGTAACGGTTCGGCACTTTCGTACCTATCTGCACCCAAAACTAATCAACTTGCTTGCTTTTGTTTTGTATGAATATTTTTTAGGAAAAATGAATGATTGTTGGTCCAGGCAATATTGCAACGGTTAAAATGATTATGTATAAATAAATAGTATAAATTTTTTAAACATATTTTATCCAAAAAATGTTTTGTACATAATCCACAGAGTCTTTAACTTTATTCACGACTAACTTTATTTGGCATTTCCAATTGAAATGTTTATCAAAAATTATATCAAATATTTTCATTAAAAAAACTCTTTTTATTTTAATATTGTTAATTTTCAGTTCTGGTAGTTTAAGAGGAAGGTTTTCAGATTTAGATGGTTTAGCAAACAAAATATACTTTTCAAAATTTGATTCGTAAACCATTCAAAAAACTATTCAAAATTTGATTCGTAAGATCAATTATTGCATGTTCCGTGGAATGGTTTTGCAAAAACCAAACTGTTTATTATAAAGAATGCAATTTTTTTTCAAGGTAATTGTACAATCTGTTGTGCATAATACACTTTAGTATTTTGGATAAAACAGGAAATTTTTGGAAATCGGTCAATAGTTAAATTTTATCGAGTCATCGCCGCTTTTGTATATTGGAATTATTTTTGCTAATTTTAATTGATCAGGAAAAATGACGTTTTCCAGAGAAAAATTAAAAATTATAAAAAGAAGTTTCTCTATAATATCTGAGACTGCTTTTACAATATTTTCAAAAGCATCTCCTCTATTATCATCTCTTAGCAACCTATTTTGCAAATTATCAATTTTCATATTTTCCAATCTTGTTAGGGAAGAGTGGGGAGAAGTGGGACGCGGGAGATACTCCTATAATTTAATTTTGCAGCAGCGCCTAATTACTGTTATTTAATGTAAATGTATAGCGAAATTACTGTTATTTAATGTAAATGTATAGATTTCATGTGCTCTTTTTATTAGACATCATTTTTTCTTCCTGCGCGTGGTGAAAAACGTTTTTTTGAAAGTACCACAAAAAGTACTTTTGGTGACAGCCTTGTAACTCATGAATGCATTTATTTTTGACATTTGTTGCACCTTTTTTCTATTTTATAGGGAAATGCACTTATCATCTAACATTTAGTAATTAAATTTATATTTTAGCTTTAACTGTGTGACTGTAATTTTTGTTTTATTTCGTACATAGGGGTGAAGCGGGACAGAAAAAAAAGTCGCTGTTCCTCTTCTTAACAGTTTTGCGTTAATTTAATGCGGAAATTTCTAGAAGATTTTAACTACAATTTTTTATAGTTTTCAAAATAAAAATATTGATACGTTTAATTGAAATATTTAGTTTTAGTTTTAGTTCTTATACAGTTAATTTAAAACAAAATTTGTAAAGAGAGATCTTTATTAAAGATAAATTTGATTTGATTCATCATTATTGTTTGGAGCAAATTGAGAGGTCATTTTACATCAACAATTTAAAAGCATTTGGAAAGCAAAAGGCATGCATAAAAGTTTTTTTAATCTTAAATAAAATCATAACTTCATAACAGTCTGATATAAGATATAGTATTATCAGTAACCTTAATACCATTACAAATAAGTATTTTTTTTATCAAACCTAATTTCTTTTCAATTTCACGTCATGCCTAGAGTGTTTATAAAAGAAAAAGTGAAACTCCACATGTTTCAGAAAACATTCTGAAAGTTGCTGTAGCTGAAGTGGGAAATGAGATGAGCTTTAGAGAAGTAGCATATTTAGCTGGCATTTCTAAGTCTGCACTTGATAGGTGTATTAAAAAAAAAGTGTACCCAGCTTCTAATCTTCAACCAAATTATCAACATTATATGATTTTCTCTGTTGCACAAGAACAAACACCTTACACCAGTTTAAGTAAGAACTCTTGCTTTTGAAATGGCTCAAGCAAACAAAATAAAATGTCCCATGCGTTGGATAGAGCAAAAAAAGACTGGTCGAGATTGGTTCACAGGATTTTTAAAAAGAAACCCAAAACTATCTGTTATAAAATCAGAGGCAACTTCAATTGCGAGAGCATCAGCATTTAATCGGTATACTATTGGTATTTTCTTTAACAAACTACAAGAAGGTATATCAGAGTCTAAAACAATATCATTTAAAATTTTAAATCTTGATGAGACAGGTTTTACTACTGTGCAGAAAACCTCTCGTGTCATTGCATCAAAGGGAACAAAGCAAGTCGGGCAAATAACATCTAGAGAAAGAGGTGAATTAGTAACAGTGTGTTGCATTGTCTCTGCAGCTGGTGTAGCAATACCACCTGTTATTGTTTTTTCAAGAAAATTAATTAGAAACCCACTAATGAGAGGAGCACCAGAAGGTTCTATTGAATTAGCTAATCAATCTGGATGGATGAATGCTGAAATATTTACAGATGTTTTAAAGCATTTTGTTAAGTTTGCTTGTCCAATCACAAAGTTTTATTGATTATGGAAAATCGTGAAAGCCACCTTTCACTACAGTCATTTGAATATGCAAAAGAAAACCATGTTTGTATGATGACTTTGCCACCACATACTTCACATAAGACACAACCTTTAGATAGATCTGTTTTTGGTCCAATGAAAACATATTTTAATGTAGCTGCCAATAGCTGGATGCTTAGCAATTTAGGACAAGCTCGTACAGTAATTGCTCTTACCAACAAGTATTATGACAGGATTTCGCGTGACAGGAATTCGGCCTTATGATAAACATGTATATGGGGATGATATTTTTATACCATCAGTTGTAACAGATAGAGATGTGTCTCAAGAACCATATAGTGAAAGCTCATGTGAAAAATTGATTACAACTGCTAATCCTTCAGATATCTAAGGTTTGAATGTGTAACATGAAGCAGTAAAAGAAAACTTAACTGTATTTTTTCCTGAGAATTTACGAGGTTATCCAAAGGTAATTTAAACTAAATATTCTTAGTTTTGGCTTTCTTTAAATTCTGTAATTATATAATACTATAATATATATTTTGCAAGCACCTTTTCTTAAGAATTTAAGATGTGGACGTAACAAGGAAAAGTGTATGATAGCCAAATCAACACCAGAGGTTTTAAGAATAAAAGATGAAGTATTAAACAAAAAAAAAGGTAAAAAAATTGTCTTTCTAAAATCCAAAAATGTGAGGAAAAACATATTACGCAAACCAAATAGTGACCTTGATGTAGATTTCAACAAAATAATAAATAATGTTTCTGCTAATTGTTACTAACTAGAATTTGAAAATGAATTAGAAACTGTTACTTTTAGCACTATTCAAAATGTGAGTGTCTGTGATTATGTTCTTTGCGAGATTTGTAGTAAAATCACCATTTTTTATTATGTAGGCATCGTGCAGAAAAAAATAGACACAAATTTTGATGTAGAGGTCAGCTTCCTGAAATTCCAGAATAAAAAAACTTCTAAATTTGTCAAACCTAGAATTAATGACATTCGTAGTGTGAATATTAATGATATAAAAGCAGTCCTACCTCAACCGCTTGCTGGAACAATATCAAGAACAAAAGCTGAAATCGTTTTCCAAGTGAGCTTTGGCATCTTAAATGTAAAATAACTTTTTTCTTTTTTTAAAAAAAAATTTTAATTCTTAAAATGAATCTTAATTTGATGGAAAAAGGCATTGATAATTTGATTTTTTTTCCTATTATTTACCTCTCCAAGGAGGCCATTTCAGGCAAGGAAGCTGCGCATTTTTTTTGCATTTTTAAATATTTTTTTTATTGTGGTTACAATTCTCTCTTAAACCCTTTAACTCGTATTCACGAACCTTTACGAACAAAGCCCGCTGCGCGGAGAAACTAAGTTGAGCGTGGAACTTCCAGGGACGTGGTGGGATTTGAACTCCGAACTTCTACCACTACACCACTGCCGCGTTTTATTTAAACTAAACTTAATTGTAAAATCAAATTTTGCTCAAATTATTATTTAACTAAATTTGGAGTCGTTTTTAAATATTTCCACATATCACCCAAATGTCCCGCTTCTCCCGCACACTTGCCCTCTTCTCCCACCCTTGTCCCACTTTACCCCAATAGCAGGGTTCCTCTAAAACCAAAAAATATATACCTCATTAAAACATTCTGTCAATCTTAGGGGCTGGATTCGGTGCCCCAAATAAGCTTTATTTTTTAAGACTAGTTTGATTCAGTTCATACATCAAATAAAAAAGATATTGCAATTACCCTGAAAAAATAAATATGTGTCCAACTTCTCCCCACTCTCCCCTATATCTTTAATTACATTCCATGTTTTTCATGTTTTTCCAGATGTTTTATTAAGCTAGCAAGAGTAATACTTTTTTTACCTTTTAACTTTCCAAAAGAATTTTTATATTTTTTGTATTTTGTTTAATTTTTGTAGTTTTTTTTTTCAATTTATGGTACAGTTTTTATTTCTTTTTTGACGACTTCATGAGTCCTTTCGTCGTCCACGGACTTAGCAAATTTTTATAATAAATAATTTTTATTTTATTTTGGAAAAGCTTTTTCGTAATGCTTTGAGAACACGCAAATAAAATAATTCTAGCCATTATTTACATCATTGCAATCAGTCTGTAGTTCCAAGTTTACTTCTTCTAATCGGTACAAATAAATGTCAAAATAATAAATTGCCAGAAAAACTTTTAGTTGACGGGGATATAATTTATAATAAAGAAGTCATAATTAACAAGCTCAACAAATTTTTTCTTGATATTGGACCAAAATTAGCTGATAAAATTCCAAAAACCAACTCAAACAACTTCGAATCTTATATAAATACACCCAACACATCTATGATAGAATCTAATTTAAACTTAAGTGAGATGCGCAATGCTTTCAACTGTCTAAAAAATAATAAATGTGCGGGCATTGATAAAATTAGCGTAAATGTAGTTAAAGCTGTGTTTGATATTATTGAACCATCACTGTTTCACATTTTTAATCTTTCTTTAAAATCCGGTATTGTACCGGAGAAATTAAAAATTGCTAAGATTATACCTATTTTTAAAAATGGCGATGATACAAATATGTCCAATTATAGACCTATTTCTGTCTTACCATGTTTCTCTAAATTGTTAGAACGAATTATGTATGATAGACTTAACAACTATTTAACTGAGAACAATATTCTGTATAATAAACAATTTGAGTTTTAAAAAAATCATTCAACGGACCATGCAGTAGTCGATCTAATAAATTATATATCCAATGGGTTCAATAATGATTGCTATACACTAGGAGTTTTTATTGATTTGTCAAAAGCATTTGACACTGTTAATCATGATATTCTAATAAAAAAACTAGCAATGTATGGAGTATTAAACAATAACTTACAATGGTTTAAAAGTTACCTTTCAAACAGGAAACAATACATAATATATACAGAAAATGAAGAAAAAAAACATATCATAACTTGTGGTGTTCCCTAGGGATCAATCTTAGGGCCCTTATTATTCATACTGTTCATTAATGATTTGTATTTAGCATCCAAAATTCTAAACGTTATTTTGTTTGCTGATGACTCAAATCTTTTTTACTCTAACAGAAATATTAAAGATCTGTTTAGAATTTTTAATGAAGAGTTATTAAAAATAAATGAATGGATTACGAATAATAAACTTTCATTAAATGTTGGGAAAACTAAATTTATGTTGTTCCACAAACCTAGTAAAGGTGATAACCTTTTTTTAAAACTACCTGATCTCTTTATGAACAAAAAAGTTATTAAAAGAGAGTCAACTATTAACTTTTTAGGAGTGATATTAGATGTAAATATATCATGGAAATATCATATTAGATCTATTGAAAATAAAATCTCCAAAAATATTTCAATGCTATATAAAGTTAAACCTTTTCTTAATACGGAATCTTTAAAAATTATATATTTCTCATTTATTCATAGTTATCTTTCCTATTGTAATCTTGCATGGGCAAGTACCAATTATGGGAAGCTCAAAAAAATTTATAGCAAACAAAAACATGCTTGTAGGATTATTTTTGGCGTTAACAGAACTGTTAATGGTGAATCTCTTTTAAAGAAACTTAATGTGCTTAATATTTACAAACTTAATATATACCAAGTTATGCTATTTACGTTTAAAACAAAACATGCGTTATCTCCTAATATATTTCAGTCTTACTTTACCGAAATATCTCATAAATATCCCACTAAATTTTCATCTGATAATTTTGTTATTCCAAGATCTTATTTAAAACTCAATTCATTTCAAATTCAATACCGGGGACCATTTATATGGAAAGGTTTTTTAAAAAATATAATTAAAAATAAAATTCTTCGAGGCATCTCCTTAGAACAATTCAAAAGAGAATCTAAACGTTTTCTATTAGAAAAACTTTCGATTTTAAAGATTTCTTCTAAAATCACCTAAAATAATTAAACCTGAAAAAGTCATCACTACTCATTTACTATTGTCTTGTGTATCTTGTTTATTTCTTATTAAAATAAAAAATATATATATTATTAATTTTGAACAGACAAATAACATTTATTCGATTTATTACTTGTGTCTTATATTTGTCGAACTAATATTGTATTGTACTTCAATTTTTAACCTTTTAGTTTTTAACTTGTAACTTTGTGACGTTAATGTAAACGGGGCTTGGCGATAAGACAGTTTATGTCTTATCGCCAAGCCCCGTTTACCCCCGTAAATATATAAATAAATGTAAATAATAGATGTATTTTTATTTATAATAATAATTATTTCTATAGTAAATGACTCGGAATCAATGTCATTTACTCTGAGGTTATCTACATGCTTAAAAGTCAATGAGTTTTGTACAAAAAATAGCTACGTCCCCGCCAATACCGTTTATCTCGGTGGATAGAATATGTATACGTATTGTTGATATTGTATAAATATAAGTATCGATTTGTAAATTTTTATATTTACGTTATATAATACGTTATTTTTATATTTACGTTATATAATACGTTATTTTTATATTTACGTTATATAATACGTGATTTTTATATTTACGTTATATAAAACGGTATTTTTATATTTACGTTATATAATATGTTATTTTTATATTTACGTTATATAACGATACGTGTATGTACCGATTTGTAAATTTTTTTTTTATAAGATTTTTTCTTTTTTAAAAACTGTATATTTTTATCAAACTTTTTATTATTATTATTTTTTTAATTTTTAATTTTACTCTTTCTTATATTATTAGAACTTTTATTTTTAAAATTTCTTCTACTCGTCCCGGTCAGGTATATAATTTATACTATGGTTCAAACATTTGGAATTTTATTATGAATATAATAAACTAATATTAAATAAAATGTTCAATTGCTTTGCTACTTTTTTTAAGTTTTTGATCAAGTTTTGTTTTATGTTTTTGTACATATATATATATATATATATATATATATATATATATATATATATATATATATATATATATATATATATATATATATATATATATATATATATATATATATATATAAATATATATATATATATATATATATATATATATATATATATATATATATATATATATATATATATATATATACGCCGTAACGGTCACAATTTTTGTAATTATATTATTTTATATGCTGATGATGCTGTTGAAAATTTCAAATAAATTATTTAGTATTGAGAGAATATATATATATATATATATATATATATATATATATATATATATATATATATATATATATATATATATATATATATATATGCAAAATATTTACGCAAAATATTTTTTGCAAAAACAACAAAGAATGTCGAATTGATTTTGAATAAGTGTGCATGATATGTCTAAAATGCTGTTTGTTTTACAGAATCATTCAGGCATATTTTGTTTTGCTTTATTCTTCATTTAAAAAGTTTTGATTGATCGTGTATGCTAATTATTTTAAAAGATATGATTAATTGTATTTCATTTAAAACATTTTTGTTTGTGATTCATATTTTCCAAATTGTAATTACACAAAATAATATTTTAAAATTGAACAACTCAAAGTTAAAGCACTTAACACATTTTAATGTTGTCACGAAACGTTCTGAACTTGATAAAAAATGCCTTATAAACGTTGGAATCGGAGCAATTGCACCTGATTTTCAAAATGGTTCTAAAAGGTATTATGGCATGTCGCCTGGGTTTTCTGTTGCTGGAGGTTTAAGTTTTCTTGGTTCAGGAAGAGGCCATCAAAATTCAGGTCACAGAGAATGCAATCATTCAAATGAATGTGAATCTCAAGACGATCATGGATATGGGTACCCTGATAAAACGCATGGTAATTATGCTGGAGGAGGAGTTTCTTTTTCACAACACAGCGAACCAAACTGTATGATGATGCATAATTCACAAAACGGACACATGTTTCATGGTGGTGCCCTTCATATGGATGCTGGTGGTCATCTATCTAGATCACATCACGGAATACATGGTCATGGAATTGGAGGAGGAGGTGGACACGGAGGTCATCCTGATCATGAATGTCATGAACGTCATGAATGTCATGGAAAAGATCATTCATGCGAAGGATTTGGTACGTTTTTCTTTTATACAAAAGTATGACATTTTAAAGATAAGATTAAAAATATCTAGGATAATAATTTTGTATAATATTTTCTTCTATAATCTTGTGTAATATAAAACTATAGAGTATAATAATCTAAAACTATTTTCTTCTATAATCTTGTATAATATAAAACTATAGAGTATAATAATCTAAAACTATTTTCTTCTATAATCTAAAACTATAATTGATATAAATATTAGTTTACCATTTAAACGACTAGTACAAATATCTAAATATTTTTTAGCCTAGTATACTTCTTTTTATAGATATTAGTTATTTTTTAAATAAAGCACACTACCTAAGTTTAAATGGTGTCTAAAATCATTCGTCTAAACCTTATTAATTTTGATTTTTTATTGCAGGCGGAGGACACCACCAGTTAATGCAAGTACCTTTATCTCCTTTGCCACAAGGGTTTCATCAAGGCTTTGGTCCATCTGAATGCGAAAACCATGAGTGTGAAAACCATGAGTGTGAAAATCACGATGACGACGATTGTGAACAAGAAGAACGTGAACGAGAATACGATTTAGATAGAGGGGGTTGTGAAGAAGGACATTGGCTAAGAGAAGAGAAACGTAAAAAATTAGAATTTTATTTTTTAAATAATGTTAATGGTTTTTGAACGTTTTATTATGTTTTGAAATATTTTAGATAAAGCTTCGGACATGGAAAATAATCATCCCCAAAAAATTTTAAAAACAGCCAGTCACAGTTCAAATATAAAAGAACACGAAGAAATAAAAGATATTGACGGGTCAATAGTTTCTGGGATAATCAAACCTTCAAAAGGTACTGAAACAGGAACGGACGTTGAAAACGAAGGATTTTTTCCAACAAAACTTTGCAATAATAATCATGTTAGCGGTGAAACCGGTATTGTTTCAGCTGGATTAAAAGGTATAAAAAAATGAGAAAGTTTCAAAAAAATTTTAAAATAACATTACCGTTGTTTTACTATTTTTATCTATAAGCAACAGTGAGATACATTTAAAAAAATTTTTTTCCGAGTTACCATAAATTACTTAAAAAGTAATTAGATTTTAAACAACTTTATCTTAAAAAAGGTTACAGTATAAAAATGGGAAATACAAGTATGTAAATACTATATATTAAATAATTTGAAAGGTACCAATTAATTGATACTATATAAGACTTTATAAATGTTATATATAAAAATATTTAAGACTATATAAAACTATATAAGTTTGATCGACCCTAAGCTATTCAAAATCTAAGACGAACATAAATTCTTTTAAAACGTTAAGTTAACCAACAATTAAAAAAATAATTCAAAGAATTTGTATTGTTATAACGTTTTGTGTTTATTAAAATTTAGGCCGCAAAAAGAAGTACGGCGAACTACAATGGGATCAAGATATAAATGGAAAAGATGAAACTGAATTACACCGAGCTGAACAATATGTTGGGTATGAAAATCATGATTGTAATCAGGAACAAAAAAAAACATTTCAATCAAAACCTTTATTGAAAGAGGAAGCAAGAAAAAAACCATCTGAAATACTTCACCTCAGCAACCAAATCGGTATCAAGAATGTTACTAAATCTAAAGCAAAAAGCACAGGAAATGCATCAGGTGCAACAACAGATAATCAGTTAGGTGATAACATCAAGTTAGAAAAGGAAAAATTTCGAAAACAAAAAGCTGACAATTTTTCATTACCACATATTATTCAATCGGAAAAAAATAATCTTTCAGTCAATAAACAAAATAAAAGTTTTCACGATTTAGTTAGTAATGTAAAAGAACGGCATCTGACATTAGGTCAAGAATCGCTTACAATGCCTGTATCTTTTGTTTCTCCGCAGAGGTCAGTTCTTCCAATTAATTCTTCTTTTATAGAAAATGAAAAGAATATTAATAGTCAATATGCATCTAATTTTAAAACTTTACCCGGGAAACTACTATCTTATCGTAATAGTAGCAATACTTCAGACAAAGACAAGTTTGAGTACAGTAGTGAGTATTCTACAATGTCTTCAAACTTTGAGTCAAAAAGCGAGTTTAACTATAATCGATCGAGTTACAACTTCACAGTAAAATATAAATCTAAACATCCAGAATATAAGTATGAATATAAATACGGAACACCTACTTCCTCAACAAATACCACAGATGAAAATAAACAATTAAAGGTTGGTAACAAAATAAAAGACGAGAAAGTAAAAGAAGCTAAAGAAGAAAAAGATTTAATTACAAGTGTATTAAATAACGAAGTAGAAAATAGGACGCAGAGTTCCGAAGAAAAGCATAAAAAAATGTACCAAAATAAACTGTACGTTTTTCAGTCTGTAAACCAGACCTCAAATAATCTAAAATCAAATAATCTGTCAGCTACTGCTCCATTGTTAGAAAACGTTTTGCCTCTTAAAACTCTTCGTCCTGACACCGCTTATAAGATTAATGATATTAAAGAATCTCTTGTTGAGAAAACTTCAAGTAAAGAAAGCAAAAGTAAATTATTAAATACAATATTTCCAAAACAAACTAAAAGCTATTCAATATCGGTTAAACAAACCGAAAATAACCAAAAAGTACCAAAATTAAAAACAGAAGATAATTCAAAAATAATCGCAAAACAAATCGATAAACATGATAAAAAGATAGTCAAGGAAAAACAAACCGAAAAAAATGATGAAAAAGAAACCAAAATAAAAGAAACAGAAAATAATATAAAGATTGATAGTGCAAAGCCATTAGAATTCAATTCTAAAGTAGCAAACAAAAAGCAAAACAAAAATAATACCAAAATAGGTATTCAAAATCAGAGAGAAAAAAATGGAAAACTAAATAATGAAAAACAAACTAAAAACAATGCATATGTCAACTCGAAAAAACCTACAAAAATCGAAAAAGTTATTAAGATAAAAGAAACGACTGAAGATAAATTTCCATCAATTGAAGATAACACACCTCAAGATCACCCATCAAAAATACAAGATGCTTTAACAGAGACAAGTACTAACCGCGACAATGAAAAACATTCTACTTCTAAGTTGGCTAGTTTAATATCGTTTACTGTAAAGAAAAAGAAACCTTACGGTTCCATTTTAAAAGAAGACAATGCTGCTTATCAACCATTAACTGTACATAGCAAAAATTTAGATTTGATTATTTCACCTATCCGTTGTGATAACTGCGAGCGTCGATTAATTGAAGCTTCTAGTAATCACACGATGAAACATTTACTAAAATAAAAAAATATAGAAGAATAAAGCTTCATGTACCTAAATTCGTAAAAAACACCTAGCTAATATATAAAACTTAGTTATTACATATAAAACTTGGTTATTACATATAAAACCTGCTTAATACATATATACTATGGTGCCATATATGATATACTTTTAATATATGATCTACTTTAAATGGCTTAAAAGTAAGAGAGAAGTAAATTTTATTCATTGATACAAGAAAACAAAAAGTTAAAAAAATTAAAAAATGCCTTTTTAACTTTGAGTTAATGTATATGTTAATACATTTTTTTTCTTCATTTTATAAATAAATAAAATTAGTTTCCTTAGAAAAATACGATTTGAGTTGTCAAGCTCCAACATCAACAATTATTGAAGGTCGAGTGAAGACCAACGATCCCTCTAGAACGCATGTTTAGATTTGGAGTTGTAAATGTGGCTCTGAGTATTTTATAATTAAACAAAAAAAGTTCATAACACCAGCCTTTACAAGTATATACAGATTTCATTAATTCACATTACAGAAAAACCACAAAAATTTCTTTTTAAATTTGAAAGTTTTAAAAATGCTGCTTCGCCAGGTTTTAATTGATATAATGATACTAAGTAAGTATATGATTTTAAAATTGTAAATAAAAAAATCGTATTTTTTCATTGTTGTACTGTAATTAATTATAATATGAATACAATATGGATGTAATAACAAATGTTGACTAGTTTTGTAAAAAGCTTAACATGATAGCAACTAACACTTTATCTTATAGTAACCCTACGTACGCGTTCGGAACGCTTGAATTTTCTTTGAGAAAGTTTTGAATTTGTGCGCGTTGACACATGGGTATATACAGAATTTACGTTCATAATGATTTTGTTAAATAAAATTATTTAATTAAATTGATGAACTATAATTTAGTAATGCTATAAGAATTAAATTCCCATGCAAGAAAAGTTTTATTTAACATTAAATTAATGATTTTTAAAAATTACTTTTTTAAGGTGCATCAAATTTATGGAAAGAGTAATCAGAAGAGAAGATTAATCACATTATTAATAATTAAAATATTATTTTTCAGATCACAGATGAACTTCTCAAAAGTACTTTTTTCAAACTCAATCTAACATTAATAGTGAGGGACGTCTGCAACTGCAAGATCGTTTTAAGTATATCAAACACAAATTGTCAGAACTATTAAAAGTCAGAGGCTTGGTTAAAGTAAAAAAATATTTACTATTTAAAAAGAAACAATTGCATACCACAAAATCAAGCTAACCAAAGAAGTGTTGAAAGTAAATCAAAATAATCAGCGAATCTTTGATTAATTTACAATCAAAGATTCGATCATGTTTAAAGTATATAGAATAAACACATTATTTTAATCGGGTTGAAATTTTGTTATGTTATTTACTTAATGCAAAAAGTAGATGGTTGTCTTTACAAATGTTCAGCCTAGGCAGCCGCTGCAGGGTGTAGGCATATGGAGAGGCCAGCCGAAAAAAAATCAATTTTTTTAAATTTTACAAACTTCACTTTTACACTTTTAAATTATAAATAGAAAATATATCAGCTGGATACGGCCGATTTAATCACACACACACAAATACGGAAAGGTTCAACAACGTAAACCAAGTGCTTCAAGTAGTTGAAGTTGATTTAATAGTGGAATAAGCTGTATCGCTCTCTATCTATTTTTGTTCAAAAGGTTTAATCAAGTTAAGTCAAAAATGAAAAGAACCTATGTTATTGGTTGGTAATACTCTGCTGCTCTGACAAAACCAAGAATTTTTATTCATCCAAATTATTCGCCTGGATCCTGCTCTGCTGAGCTTGCAAACGTCAACAAGACGAATTGATGTCTATTGAGATATCAGACCACTGTGGGAGAAAAAATGATTGTTAAGGTTAATCTTAACACCAATAGATTTTTATTTGCCCTTGAAAGGCGAAGACAAGTTTATACTTTACTTCTCTCTAGTTTTAAAATCTTTGTTCGTTTTTTAGATATGTATTCTGTCATACTCACTGGATTTACTTCTGGTTTTTTAAACAATGAAATTTCAATCAATTCCATAATGTCTTGCTGTTCTAATGATGTTTCTCTCTGCTGTTGTTGCAAATTGTACTGGAAAAGTTCTTTTTCAAACTTCAAAAAGAGCGAAGAATTACCTCAGGTCTATTAGCGGACAAAAAAAGCTTTATTAAATATGCCATGATCAAAAAATAGTGCTGAAACAGATTTTTTTGGTAGCGGGAGGGGGTGAAAGTTTGTACAGGCTACAACTGTTATTTCCCTCTGAGGCCAGGATAACCTAAATATGGGACTGGTTGAGTGGGCTTAAATTATTTTGATCTTTTATAAAAAAGGTCTATTAAATTCACATTTGATGACAATGAATTGTTTGACGAGGTTCAAAAATCAAATTTTATTGCAATTACATTTTACGTTTTAAAAATCGTTTACAGCAAACACATAACGTAGAGCGGGGCATATAGGGACACTTAAGAAACAAAAGTTGTGGATAAA